GCAATTCCGCTCGAGGCCTCATTGTTCGTGCGTGGCTCGGGGAGGGGAGCATTAGCGGCGGCGGCGACAAGTCGAAAGAGCTGCTCTTCGGGCGCAAAAAGTTTGGCATCGACTTCCTTGAGAAGAGTGAAATGGCGAACCAGCTCCTTGGGGAGAGCGGTGACGCAGTCGGCGAAGTGGGTGATCGCTGGGAAGATGTCGATGGGCTGGTCGCCGCCGCCGATCGAGTCTCTACCAGCACCAGAGCGGCCCATAGTCGCGGTGCTTCGAGAAGGGTTCGTCCGAGCCTGGCGGACTGGCTGCGACCGGCGTTGCGACAGGCTCTCCGCCGGAGACGCCTTGGCCGACTTCATCGTGGGCGACGCGGGTAGGATGCGAGGATTGAGGCGACTGGGTCTACCAGCTCAAGCGGCGGGACGGACTGACTGGCGACACAGAGATTGGGTATGTGCCTGGTGCGAAGGCGACGAGAGGGAGTAATGAGGTGAGTAACAGTTAAATCGACGAAATGGAAAAAGAGGTTAGGTCATTATGTGTCAAATGCCATATGAGGGGAATATGAGCTTGGGAAGAAGAGACGCGAAGGTGCAGATCTTGTTTTCCATTTGAAGACTTCAGAAAGCGAATGCCGCGGCGGGAGTCCAAGAGTAAGTACGACAGACAGGTACCTCCCGTCTGCACTGGCACCCCCAACTCACAGGTCCACGTCGGCCTCAGGCGCCAGGCGCCCCAACCAGGGCCTCAGCTGTACCACGCGGGCGCTGCAAATCAAATCCGGAGAAACCACCTTCCGACCTCGGATGTTTTTTTCTTATCTGATAAGGGTGCGCGTGGACAGGAATATCGTCATAGGCTCGAAACCTACCAGTTCTTCAGGTCAGTTGAGTGAGAGGTGTGCGAATTGTACCGTCAGCACAGTAATTGGCTGCGTAAAAGGCTCATATGTAATTCTCTTTGAGACAGCATGGTCTCCCAACTAGCGATATTATTGAATGTGCAGAGTGTATTGCAATATATTGCATCTTATCGCAGACCCAATACCCATCTCAGAGCACCCCAAACTGCATAGCTATATATACACACAAAAGCTCTCAATCCCGCGCCAGAAAACCAAAAGACTCTGCCATAAATAAATGAAAAAGAAAGGAATTTCTCCATGAACCTCGGGGTATCACTACTTCCAGTCTATCGAAACACATCACGCCGTAACAGTTACCGCCCGGACCGGCGCCTCTTCGCGGTCCTTCTGCTTCTGCCGCCACTGCCACTCCAACAAGATCCAGATGAAGTCGTGAAGATCAAAGTCGGGCCACAGAGTATCGATGAAAAAGATCTGAGTGTCCTGGTGACACTGCCAGAGCATAAAGTCGCTGAGGCGTTCCACTCCGCTGGTTCGGACAAAGATATCTAGAGGGGGGTCGCTTGCTGTGTACATGTGCTTGTCGAGCGTCTCGGCTGTGATCGTCTCAGGGTTTGGCAGGCCAGAGATGCTGGCTGCGCTGTTTCTCGCCCTGATGCGAGGTGGGGGTGAGTCTGGGTGCAGTGTGGGCGATGACGAATCTCCATCACTGTCTTTCTTGGCATCATCGCCATCCAAGGGCTCCGAGTCCTCGGGCAGAACATCAGGGATCGTAGGCAAGCCTTCGCGGCCATCCAGCTGGCGCGACAGGATCTTTTGCCTAATACGAGAAGGAGAGAATGGGGTGCTTCGAGGGGGAGTGGGAGCAAGGAACTCTTGCACTGTTGATCTGACTGCGGTGGTCATCTCAGCTCTCGATGTGTAGGGGAAGCAAATGTTCAATACGGCCCTGTCCATAGGTTAGTTCTCGTTCAATGCTTCCTCAAAGAATGCAAAACTAACTTGTTGTTGTGCTTGGTTCTCGCGACAGCCTTGTCAACAACCTCCAAAACATCGGCTCGAATCATCTCGCGCTGGCCTAGGACGCGGACACGGGCACCATAACGATCGAGAATGTGACCATAGTTGGTCAACTGTTCCAGCTTGACCTTGGCCAGCTGCATAAGGCCTTCGACCTCGTATTTCGGACGATTATAGTTCTCGATACTGAAGGCGTAAACTGTGACGACTTTCACGCCGCACTTGTAGCAAATCTCCATAATCTAAGTACGCCAGGTTAGTATTCGTACAATAGCACAGAACAGGTGATACATACCCTAGCCAGGGCCTCAAATCCATGGTGATGACCCTCCACCGTCTCCATTCGGTGGCTTCGAGCATACCGCCGGTTTCCGTCCATCTCGAAAGACACATGTTGGGGGATAGGGCCTTGCTTCAGGGCACCGATGAGAAGCTCGCGAAGCTGGCGCATAGCCCATTCTCCGGGGGGAGACTCAATAATGACTTTCCGGAGAAAGGAAGATATAGCGTCGGACATGGTGGAGATGGTTGTAATCGAGGTCTGTGGTTGGTGTACGGGGTATTGAAAAGGGAAAAAAATTGGTCGAGATGGCGAACGTGTCGTGTGGACGGTCGGTAAGAGCGCGACTCTAAAGGTGAACGAGAAGGGATAAATATTATGCAAGGTCGAAATATGGAATCAAAGTCGCATGGCTGATGGGAATCTTGAAAACTGAAATAGGGAAACAAACGATTGTCGGAGGCGAAGATCAGAGACGTGACGACGAGTGTTGACAAGTAAGCCACGAAGCTATAGTGGCGGAGCTCGCATCTGACGATGGGGATGGGGCTTGTTGAGGCGAGGCGTTAAGCACTGGAACACTCAGCAGCAGATGGAGAGAACGGCGACGTTGCCTTAGCTTTTTGTGCCTGGCACTGGAGGGCGGGAGCTTGGCGCAAGGATGTGCCCGGGCCAATAAGCACGCTGCGCAACAACCTATCGTCATTATCTTGGAGCAACCGAGGCGTTATGACGACGGCTGGATCTCGGCGTCTGGGCAAGCAGCTGAGCTACAAGGCCAGAAGGAGCTTTGATGTGATCGATTGTGGTGAGATTCGAGCAAGGATTGAGGTGTTTGACGAGGGTGTGACCTCGAGCTGCTGGCTATATGAGGATCCAGTGGCTCGATGTTGGTACAATCCCTACCAGGGGCTGGCGAGAGAGCTCACTTGCAGCGGCTGATCCATTTGGCATTGCCTGGGGAAATAATATATCTCCTGGAGCATTGTTTTCCGAGTTTGACATGTGAATTGGATGTTGCCGTGTCAGTTTATTGTCCTGGAACCTGGCTTTGTCAATGTGAGGTTCGGTAAGCCTCTATCCGTGGATCCACGTTAGATCCATGCCACCAAGAGACCAGCCAAGCATGGCTGAATAAACTTGGTCGGATATCGCATTGAAAGGTTTCCGACATTCACTTTCGAGATTTCCCCATAACTTGATCGTATAGCCGCATTAGGTATTTAGTGTCTGATTGCGCCACTTGGTGACGACAACGAGTTGCTCGGTTTGGGAAGCTATACAAGCATCATCCTCGTTCTGCTATTGGGGTTCGAGGAAGCCATGGCATTGTGGCAGTAGTTCATCGCATTTCGATAATCCAGACATGAACAAAGTAGGCCTGTTCTTGTATCCTTTTTTTTTTTTTTTTACCTTTGAAGAGTGGATGAGCATGGGCTCCATATTGGGTGTCCACGGTGTCCATCCCCGGCAATTTGGGGTTGCAGGGTAAGTTGTCCTGGTTCTGAAGATTCGAGTGATACCAAGTCCCAGCTGACCATCCAATATGCAATCCATATGTAGGAGTCCTCATCGAGGTTTCATACAAAGGCCATGTTGTGGTGGCATGTGGAAATTGGTGAATATTTAAACCCGGTTATTGGACGGGTCAAGGGAAGAGCTTGGAGAGGTCAATTCGTCACCAAAAACCAATCGCTCTCTCGATTCAGGGCAATAGACCAGATAGGATGCTGTGCCAGGCACCGTTGGACTGGCCGTTGGAAATACTGCCCCAAAGAGAATGGTCAAGGTCGAGTTTTCTCAAACTTGTGAGACGGCAAGGTCCCGAACCTTGATCGAGACCACCAACATCCGGCTTTCTCAACGCTCAAAGACGTCATCGCTGCAACGAAAGCCGCAGCTGTTTTAGCGCAATCCAAGTGAAATCTGAAAACGCCACAACAATTCTCGGCCGGGGAGGCTGGAGCCGCTGTCGCTCACCGGTATGCGCAAACCGTCTCCAGAGCAAGTGCTTCATAAATCTCGTGTAAGCTGCTGTGTAATGCCGTCTAAGGCAACAGTAATGTTCCCACTCATGGAGCGTTCCAGCGGAGACTTGGCCCCGGACAACCATTCATGTTGACCGTTTCTTGTCGTTTCCTCTGGCCTGCAGTTGGTTCTGGGCTCGCCGAGGGGCCACCGATGATGGTGTTCTTGGTGGAGTTTGAGAGCCATGTCCATGACTAGCCGTTTGTTGCCCAAGTGTTGCCATCGATGTCACTCTGCTGCAAGCATCGCTATCCAGAGACATGAACCCATGTATCCAGTAGCATCAAAGCGCGCTGCAGCCGATGGGACACAGCGGCCGCCGTTCTCATCGGCCAGCTCAACCGTGATGCGCCATTCGTCAGTAGCCATGTGCTATCGTAGAAAAAAAAGTAGAGCACCGAGACCAACAACAAACCAGGAACAAAGAGGGAAGCTACGCACCTGGTTGAGACTGGAGCTACTAAGCTCAAGCCTCAGGCACAACCGCGACGGGACTGTCATGTTCGGGTCCTACCCACCATCGTCGATCCCGTCTTGTCTCGCCCGTGTTGAAAGTTGTTTTTCCCTCCTCTCTCCTCTCTTCCTCTTTTCTTCCCCATCCTTCTCTTTCCTCCTGAGAAGCTTCACCCAACGACATCATCTCACGACTCGTCCTCTTACCCCTACTTTGCTCCTTCCCCTCTTCTCCCCCCCCACTCGTTCCAATTGATCTCGTCCTCCCCCACCTAAGCAATCGTTGCTACCCCTCGCCGATCGTCGCCTGCGTCGCCCGTGCTTAGAGCTCTCTCGTCAAGCAAAGCTTCAGATTGCGCCATGGTTGTTCATGACGGCCACGAGTACCTCACTGAGGAAGAGAGACGCCTCAAGGAGGATCGCGACCGCACCAAGTACTGGAAGAAATGGGGTCCTTACGTTGCTGAGAGACAGTGGGCGACAGGCATGTGATAAACGCGGCATACCCTGGCTCATGCCGCCCATGATAAGCCAATTGCTAACCAACCCACAGTCCGAGAGGATTACAGCCCTGATGGAGATGCCTGGAGCCGTACGTGCAGCTTCACAAACCTCGAGAATCACCGCCACTCTCTAACATGTTGCGCTAGACTTCCCTCACGACCATGCCCGATCGCGAGCTTTCCGATGGGGTGAAGATGGTATTGCTGGTGTCTGCGACACTCATGGCTACCAAAACATTGGATTTAGCTTCTGGAATGAGAAAGAGTTCGTCTAATGACGCCAATTAACCCGCGTCATGAGTGCTGACCGATTTTTAGCGACTTTCTTAAGGAACGTCTCTTTGGCCTCTCCAACCCACAGGGCAACCACGGAGAAAGTGTCAAGGAAGCCCATTTTCACGTCGATAACACTCCAGTCAGTTCTCAGCTCAGCCTCAATGGTGATTCCGCAGCGACCTCATGCTAATTCGCTCTGCAGACAGTAATAACCCCCAGACCAGACTCGAGACCCACTATCATACTGACTTGCCATGATAGCATTCGTACATGAAGTTTCTCTACAAGTACCCGCAGAAAAAGTTCCCCTACAAAGACCTGATCGACGAGAACGCCCGCAGAGGAAAGGAGGACAAGGAGTACCAGATCATCGACACTGGCGTATTTGACGAGGATAGGTACTGGGATATCTTCATCGAGACCGCCAAAGAAACCGACGACCCCGATGAGATCCTGTTTCGAGTTACCGCGTGGAACCGAGGCCCCGACCCTGCGCCGCTTCACATCATTCCTCAAGTGTGGTTCCGCAACACTTGGAGCTGGGGTCGAGAGCCCGAGGACAAGAAGCCTTCGATTAAATCCGTTGACGAGATCGCCGCCAAGTCCAACCACTGGAACCTAGGAGAGCGCTACTTCCTTTGCTCCCCATCGCCTGGTGTTGGCTCGAGTGGTGACGATGTGATGCCCCAGTTCATGTTCACCGAGAACGACACGAATTTCAAGGCTCTGTACGACCAGGAGAATAAGCAGCCATATGTGAAGGATGCTTTCCACAGGTACATTGTCGATGGCGAGAAGGATGCCGTCAACCCTGCCAAGACTGGTACCAAATGCGCTGCTTGGTTCAACTTTAATGAGGACGGTGGTGTCAACCCTGGTGAATGTGCTGGTAAGTACTTTGGTGCATGCAGCTTTGAAGGCTATCTGGCTAAGCTATACTCTAGTCGTTCGTTTCCGCTTCACAAGAAGAGACGATAGCTACCTGGACGAGGAAGAGTTCGACGATGTGATGGAGAGCCGCAGGGAAGAGGCGGACGAGTTCTACTACAGACTCAGCCCTCTTCCCATGGCAGACGACCTGCGAAACATCCAAAGACAGGCCTTCTCTGGCATGATGTGGACCAAGCAGCACTATCATTTCATCTGGGATCATTGGGCGAACGGTGATCCCACGATGCCTCCTCCCCCGGCTTCACGGAAAGACATCAGAAACTCAGCGTGGAAGCACATGCATTGCGATGATATTCTGTCAATGCCTGACTCGTGGGAGTATCCCTTCTTTGCTGCGTGGGACAGCGCTTTTCACTGCATCCCGCTGGCCATGATTGACCCCGATTTCGCCAAGAAGCAGCTTGACTTGTTCACCCGAGAGTGGTACTGTCACCCCAACGGACAGCTTCCAGCGTAAGTTGCCCCCTGCTTGTATATGTCCCTGAGATGGTCACTGAAGGAACCTGTTAGTTACGAGTGGAATTTTGGCGATGTGAACCCCCCAGTGCACGCCTGGGCCACATTTAGAACTTTCAAGATCGAGCGAAAGATGTATGGCCGTCAGGATCTTGACTTCCTGGAGCGTGTGTTCCAGAAGCTGCTCCTTAACTTTACCTGGTGGGTGAACCGTAAGGATGCTGATGGCAAGAATGTGTTTGAAGGAGGCTTCCTGGGCCTCGACAACATTGGCTTGTTCAACCGATCTGAGCCCCTGCCCACCGGAGGTGTCCTCGAACAGGCTGACAGCACAGGATGGATGGCCTTTTACTGTCTGTCCATGCTCAACATTGCCCTCGAGCTGGCCAAGCACCGACGCATCTACGAGGACATTGCATCCAAGTTCTTTGAGCACTTCATCTTCATTAGTGATGCGATGACCTTCCGAACGGGCCACAAGGATGAAAAATCTCTTTGGAACGAGGAGGATGGCTTCTACTATGATGCCATCTCTTGGGGCGGCCCCTGGATCCAGCAGCTGCCCGTTCGATCGCTCGTGGGCCTTATCCCGCTGTATGCGACCATCACTCTGGAGCCAGAGCTGATCAACAGGCTCCCGTCATTCAAGAAGCGGGTTGACTGGTTCATTGAAAACCGGTGTGATCTGGCTGAACGAAACATGGCCAGTATTCGGAAGCGAGGAAAGGGGAACAGAATCTTGCTGTCCATTGTGAGCAAGGACAGGCTGGAGAAGATCCTCAAGCGAATGCTCGACGAGGATGAATTCTTCAGCGATCACGGCATTCGATCCCTTTCCAAGTTCCACAAGGAGAACCCCTTCTCGATGGATGTCAACGGACAGAAGTTCTGTGTTGGATACGTGCCAGGAGATTCTGACAGCGGCTTGTTCGGCGGCAACAGCAACTGGAGAGGCCCTATCTGGCTGTGCGTCAACTTCTTGCTGGTTGAGTCCCTACAGCGCTTCTTCCTGTTCTATGGACCCGACTTCCAGGTTGAATGTCCGACGGGCAGTGGCGACTACATGCATCTGGGCAAGGTGTCTGAAGAGATTCAGCATCGCCTGCAGCATCTGTTTGCCCGTACGGATGATGGTAGGCGCAGCATCAACGGTGGCGATGACCGTCTAGACTTTGATGAGAACTGGAAGGATTACCTCTGGTTCCACGAGTTCTTTGACGGCGACACTGGACGAGGCCTGGGCGCTACCCACCAATGTGGCTGGACCGGTCTGATTGCTCGAATGATCCATGATACTGGGTATGTTATGTTGAACAAGACCTGTCAAGTATATGCCAGATTGCTAACCAAGATATAGTGTCAACTGCCGTCTTCCTCACACCCCTCGTACACCATCTATCGCCATGAGCCACTACTTTGATGACGTTTTCCATCGAAGTGCCGGCGTTCCTCACCAAGGTGGCATGCCTCGCATCAGGCGCTCATCAACAGCTCGCTCCATCGGTGCTCGTAGTGATTTTGATGATGATGCTCGCTCCATGACCAACTCTATTCATCACGATGACCCAGAGCGAGCCAAGGAACGGTCCGAGGCGGATGCTCACATGCATAGCTACGTTTCGGACCAGCTCGAGAGGTACAAGGATGAAAGAGCTCAGGGCTATGAGCACGACGACGAGTACGAGACGAAGGCATAGAGAGCATAGGTAACTGCTGCAATGTGCAGATAGACGGCGCTATTAAGAGAAGGAAGGCATAGGGCGTTCTAAAAAGCATGACCTTGGGAGGATGTCGTGTAGGACTGGTAGAAATTCGTTTGTAGTCGGCGGTTTAGACATGTTAACCAGCATTGAAATGAGAGTCTGTTCTTATGTGAGAATGATTTTTGAGAGCATCGTCATGGCTCTTGTGAGTTGATTTTGCAATTCGATACATTTGCTTAAGATGTGAATCATTCCGGTGCAAAATACCTCTTTGACATGTTGTCAGCTCATGATGGAGCTCTTCGAGTGTGCTCGTACTTCCGCTAATTCCGACCAGACCTCGGATGAATTTCCAGAACAACAGATCACATCACGAAACTTTGAACAAGTCAATTGGGGAATTGCATTTATTGCACGCCCTATTCACACCCTCCTACACTATTCTTTCCATCGACACACTCTTTCCCCTCCCATCCGGAGACGTAAATAAAAAAGTCGGGGGAGGTCGGAAAGAGGGGAAGCCCAGAAGCCGGCGGGCAACACGGGAGGGGGAGGGTGAGAGAGTTGCCCGGCCGGTGAACGCCCAAACGAGAATGGGCTTAAAGGAGACAACTAAACATGTTTGTTTAACACTATGAAGGGGGGTGATTTTACAGGGAGTCGGTCAGGAGCTTGTTCATCTTGGCGATGCGGGCCGAGACGCTGAGGTCGATGGTTCGGTCTCCGATCTCGACGACGAGTCCGCCAACGATGTCGGGGTTGACCTGAGTGAGGGTTAGTTGTTAGGGGGGGCCTGGGTGGCATGTCGAGGTCCAATTGATGACGTACAGAGTTGGTGACCTTGAGCTTCTGGCCCTGGCTGATGTAGGCCGACTTGGAGACGGCAGACTCCAATCGGTTGAGGGTTCGCTTGTCGAGAGGCTAGAGCCGTTGTCAGCTCAATTCTCCATCAATCCATTCATAAGTCCATTAATTGGCGTCATATTCCCAATATAAGCCGATTGCTGCTTGCTCCCTCGGAGCTCCCCTCCCTCTCATCCAATATCCAAACGTACCTGGGCGCTGGTGACGGTGACCTCGACCTCGCCGCGGGCGGCAGAGATGATGGTGGCGAACTTGTCGCAGACGCCGGGCAGGAGACCCAGTCGGTTGTTCTCGGCGAGGGTCTCGAGGAAGTTCTTGACCGTCTCGTTGCCGGAGCCAGCCTTCTTGCCGAGCTCCTCAATGATGGCCTTCTTGTCGGCCTCGGTCAGCGTAGGGGTCAAGAGGATGGCGGCCAGCTTGGTGTCCTTTTCGAAGAGGGCGCCGAGGTTGGAGAGGGCAGTGGCCGTGGGATCGAGGCTCGAGGTCTTGACGGCAGCAGTGTACTAAATTGACGCAAAAAAAATTCTTGTCAGCGACGGCGCGATCCATTGGCCCGACCGGGGAGGCATCGCGGGGCATCACGATGCCAATTGGGTTCGGAGGAGATGTTGTCGACCGGTGAAGACCCCCGCGAGGCCCGGGGAGGAGGAGGTGGTGTTGCTGTTTACCAGAGCAGTGGCATAGGTGCCATCGACGCCGAAGACGGACACGGGGGGCTTGACCTCGCTGGTAGCCGCGGCGGCGAAGGATCGGACGGGGACGGCGACGCGGAGGGCAGCGGCGCGCTGGGGGGCAGCGGCCCGGACGGTGCGGAGGACTTGTCGCGAGAACATGGCGGCGGGTGAAGGGCGAGGTCGATGGAATTGGGGGTCAAGGGAGTGATGGGAGTTTCGGGTCGTCGAGCTCGATAACTTGGAGGTTGTTGCTTCTCGGCAATTTTCGGGCGTTAGATGCCTGGGCGGGTGTCAGGCATCCACTTTCGATTACATAACACGACTTGCTTGGTGCTCTTGGCTTGACATCTTCAAGACACTAGCAACAGACAAAGCAAAGAAGATGATTGCACAAAAGACACTTTATTCCTGTAGTGATTCAGATTCCGTGCCTGAAGCTGTGTTTGAGGAAGCCTTCTTTCATCAAGGACAAACCGTCATCTAAACTCGTGCCCTCTACTCTGATCATGATCGTACAACTTAAAGCAGCTCCCTAGCCCCTCCAAGTCCTAAACCGAACGCCCAAAAACTCCTGGATGCTAACCTTGAGACACACACGCAAATACCCGGCCCGTCTAGCGATCGAGCTTCTCCTAGTCGCTCTTCAACATGCTGTCCACCAGGTCTCCAAGGGGACCCCAGTAGTCCCTCCCACTCGCCAAGCTGTGCTCGTCCACAAAGAGCACGTACTGCTTGAAGCTCGTGTTGAGGTGAGGCTCCAGACCTAGCTCACGGATCACGGGGTAGTGGTGGCAGTAGATGTGCGCGTAGACACGGTACATGCGCTTGAAGATCTGGCGGACCAGCGCTGGGAATGACTTGGGGAATGGGACGCCTGGTGATGTCAGTGAGAAGTCCAGTTGAAGGACAGGGTCATAACTACCAATTTTGCTGGGCAGGACCTGCTCGTTGTCAATGTTGGACTGCACCCATGTCATGAGCTGTTCAATGTATGCTGGAGCTGGCATCTTGGTTGGGCGCTTGTAGTTTTCGTTGTCCTGCCAGAGGTACTCGAACCTGCTACGATCAGCTTCTGCCATGATGTTATATCCGTGGAGAGTCGTACTCATCGGTGGCCTTCATCTCGGGGCATGACTGCGGCGAGCAAAACTCGGTGATGGCTCCGTAGAGAAGGTTGATCTGGTTGTAAAAGTCCACCACTAACAGATCCTCGTCAGCCCGCCATCTCGCTACAGGGAACATGTTTATCCAAACTCACTGTTGACAGCCAACCACTCGTTCTCGTCTTCACCCTCTGGGAGCTTGACAACCTTGCGCAGGCTGCCTCCGCCGAGCGTCACCTCGGCATACTGCCGAAGCTGGTAACTAGCCGATCCGCCCTTGCCCACGCGCGGGCGGAACTGGTTCCTCGTCCGTTGGTTCCTATCGACGACGGTCTCCGAGTTAGCAATCGTCACTTCGGCCACCGCGGGCGGTAGTACGGGGTCTGAGGCGATGGGTATGATGGTCGCCCCCATCTGGTGCATCGTCGACAGGGACTTGGGGCTCAGGTAGCGAAACATGTTGGCGGTGTGCGGCGAAGCCATGATGATGATGATGATGATGATGATGGATGGTTCATTCGATGGGTACTACTAACACGGTGGTCAAGAAAGCTTGAGCCATGGCGGGCAATCGACGACCGAGTCGAGGTTTTGGAGAGATGCGATGCTGCTGTTTCTGCTTCATTCCAGCGGTTAGCGGGGCAATCGGGGCGACATTCGAGACGACGAGGGGAGGCGAACGGAGGCTGATGAGACAAGGCGGCTTTTTGTCTCGTTTCTTTGTGTGTACGTATATGCAGGAGCGATACGTAGAGTATGAACTGCTGAGGGTTTTGAGTTTCGCGTCGGTGTTCAAAGAGGCTGAATATCAAAGGCGGGCGGAACGATAATGATGGCGTAGGTAGTGGAGGGAAGAAGGTTTGGGGTCGCCAGCCGTTGTTTACCCCATTTCCTGATTGGTGCCGTTGCTACGGAGCTCATTACACCCCACCACCGTCATACCTCAGGGTGTCAACCCGGTATATCAATATGGAGAATGGTTGTTTACTCTCGGTTTTATTGAAAAATCCAACAGGGGGGGGGGTTTCTGCTGGGCTGGATGGTAACATTAAACAAGCTAGCTTTGTAAAGCAATCGAGCTGGAGTGACTGAGCAAAGTAGTGTTGGAGATGCAACTTGGATGGAGATGTGTCCAAGACAGCACCAAAGCTACATTATTCCTGTTTCAACACCACCTATTAAAAATCAGAGATACATGCAAGAGTTTGTATGCTTGTTTTTTATCACCTTGACTCTCCTGGCCCATCGATACCATGAACCGGCACTGAATCAGGCAGAAGCCTATGGACGTCCTCCATCACATCTGGCCGAGCCTGGGTTGAGCAAGCATTCCGTTTGATCAAGTATAGGCCCTCATCATTACCATCTGCCCCTATGACCTCCTCCCCGACCCCTTCCTCGCCCTCGGCCACCTCCTCGACCACCTCCTCGACCTCTGCCCCCGCCACCTCTGCCCCCGCCACCTCTGCCCCCGCCAAACGAGCGTCTCTCTGACTCGGCGGGGCCTTGAGCTCTTCTTTCTTGCCTCTCCTCCTGGCTCGCGTTCCATTTGTTGGTGATTCCAAGCAGTTCGCAGAAAGCAGTAGTCTGTGGGCTGGTATACTCTTCCGGCTGCTCGTGGACGATCTCTGGGGTCCCGGCGACATATGGTGGAGCAGTAATCTCGAAGTTGTACGGCACATCTAGCTTGCCAGGCTTGACGATGTTGTCTTCCACCCATTTTTGTTCGGCTTCGATAAGTGGTAGATACTGCTCTTCGCCCAAATCAGGTGGTGTCTGGGCGCTTCGGTCTCCGACGATGAGAGAATCGTGAAAGACGCGAGTGATTGCAAGCCATTCTGGGTCATACTGTAGTCGATACCGAGGTGATTCCTTAGCCGGAGGATACTCAGAGCTCGTCTCCGATTTGAAGGACCGAATCTCGCAGAGCTGCAGGAAGTGCCGTCCTGGCAAGCATTTGTCTAAAGCAAGGAACCGGACCTGCTTGTTGGTGATGCCAGGGGGCACTGGTTGGCCTGGTGTCTTCTTTGGCTGCGGACGAGCAAAAGATGGAGGGAGTTGTGCCCTCAACTCATCAGATACCACATTTGACTCTTCCGCCACCTCCTTCTCTTTGGGTTCACTCTCCTTGGTCTCCTGCTTTGCCTCTGGTTTGGCCTCGTCCCCATCGTCATCGTCCAAGTCCAGATCGATCTCGTCAGGATTCGCTTCTGCGGCCGCCACAGGCTCAGGAGCAGTTGGTCCCATGCTTGGCTCTGGTGCAGGCACCTCTGCATCTTCATAGGTCTTGAGAGCACCGAACTTGACGTGCAGATGGGCAGAGAACCAGTAGGGCGGTCGTAGACGGTCCATGACGTACTCTGCGGCGACACTTCCGAGGGTGCCATCTTTTGACTCTTGACGGAAATCTCGCTTCTTCCTGAACAACCACTCCTGGTCACCATGCTTCTCGATAGCGCGCGGCCAGTCGTGACTGAGACCGACATCCACCTGCGTCCGCACCTGTAGTAGTTTGCGAACATCAAACTCGCGGACGTGGTACCATGACTTAACATCGTCTTGGTTGAAGGGAAGCCGCTCGTGGTGCGGCTTGCGGTAGTCAAAGCCCTTCCAAATGCCAGAGAGACCAGCAATGCGTAGTGGACCGAGACGCAAGACGTTGGCGGCGCCCAGATAGTAAATGTTGGGCGCGACCCAGCCACCGTAGTAGAGCTCCCATAGATGCGAGCTGGCTTCGTGGTTTCCAGCAATAAATATGGTCAGGTAAGGAGCTTTGCATTCTCCAGAGTAGTACTTGGGAAAGTCTCCAAGGTGGCGATACTTGACAGGACAAGACATGATGCTCAAATCTTCAGCGTTCCGAACCGACTATGGTGAATGGTGAGCATGTGCCTAGAGAGTACGGGATCAATATTGAGAGCCAAAATACCTGAAAGTCGCCGCCGATAATGAGGACATCAACGCCATCCCAACCGCGATGCTTGCACGACTCGGCGACGGAAGCGTAGATGGCATCGAGTGTACCGTGGCCCTTGGAGCTGGTCAATCTTCATCACAGTCAACAAATGAATCATCAAGAGCACTCACGCAGCCTTCAACAGCAACACGGACGCCCTGCGTCTCGAATGTGTTGGCAGCCATTTTGCGTTTTCTGAAGTATTTGGAGTTGAGAAGTTGCGAGCTAGCGGTCACGCAGAGAAGTCTTCGATTTATGGTATAACGACCGCTGGCAACGTGACACCAAACCGACCTTCCAAAGGAGAAATTGCTTCTGAATTTAATTGCCATGTGTTTGGTAGTAAAATTGTCTAGGTAGATACGTTTTCAATATGAAGCGGGAGACAAAGAATAGATAGTACGATAGTGCTAGCAGCTGAGAGGGTTCGTTGGCCAACATCCATCACTGATTACCTAGACTGCATACGCACTGTACTCTACACACGTCCGCTACGAGACCCATGGAACGGCACATCCTCCACGATACAATGCGTGGGTAGATATTACGGAATTACGACAGAATCAAAGTCACGTCAAAGAAATGTTGCCCTTCAGAAAAAGCGAAAGCTCAATGCGTCAACTGAGTCACGCAGAGTGAGAGGGATACTTCCATCTTCCATCTCTAATAGACGTTCGACCCACGGAGGAGTAGAAGAGAAGAACGCATATGCTGAAATGGGGTTGTCATATCACGCCTGTGTTGCTTTGAAGAAGCATGCCTTGAATGTGAGTTCATCATCATTATTCGTAATAGCATCGATATTGCTTCTCGAATGTGCCGCAGAATCTCGTCCGCAGTGTAGCAAAGTCATATGTATCCTTACCCAACTCCCCGACTCCGAAATTGTAGCCCTGGCCAACAATGCAAGGTGCAGATGTGTAGAGCAAAGAAAAGAGTAGAAAAGTCAAGTCCGTAGAATCTGACTTGAAGAAAACTCTTCACTTCAAGCTCATGTTTGCCCTAGCCGAAATTAGTATCAGTGCATCCCACTGGAGCAATGCGCGCGGCTGGGCTGCATACTGGTCCAGGCCCAGGTAATCCGCTGCGGCCAACAGCTCAAGGCAGAGCTCGACCGGGATGTCCATGTCGGGAACATCCTCGCTGTCGCGGTAACGGTACCAGTAGTGGAAGTACTCGACGACCTTGTCCAATACCATGGCGCTGCGATTCCATCATTCATCAGCGTCTTGCTCTTCCAGTTCAGGATGCAGCCAGCAAAAGATGAGCGCAGATGAGGCCGGGTGCGGTTGTGGTCAGGTCAAGTGTAGTGAGTAGTCAGCCAGCCCGACCGAGAAATATCTCAGTCGTTCTGTCAGAAACGTGTCGTGAATTTTGTCATCAATCCACAGAGCAAGGCAAGCCATGGCCACGGCTGAGGCCATCCAAGGACTTGTGAGGACCGGGGTTGGAGGAGGCGGCTGAACAAACAAGGCCAGCACGTTGATGGCATCGACCTACCTCATCTCCTGGAAGACGCACCGGGCATCTTGAGCCTCGGCGAACTGACTTCTCACGTCGAGCATGCCTTTGATGATGGGACTGACGAGGGCGGCCTTGCGCAGGACGACAAACTCGAAGCCATCGCCAGAGACGAGGGTGATGTACTTGCTGGGCTCTGGAAAGTCCATGCTGACGGTTGTCCTGAGATGTTGTCGGGAGTTGTGATGTGGAAGGAAAAGAAAGAAGAAGCCCCTTGCAGAAGGATTTGTGAGAGAAGTGCATTTACGAGAACGTGTCTGGACGAATCACGAGCGCGATAAGCCCCAGCCACATGGGAAATTTTTCGGTTGGGCACGTGCACGGGCCTTTTTCTCTTCTCGTCACTCTGACATCCGATGCTAGTGGAAAGTTTGGCGCTGCTTCAGCTTTCCGCAGTTGCCCCGTCAACATGTTTACTCGGGTAACTTGGGGCGCAACAAAGCCACACTTTAGACTTGACTCCCATAGTCCTTCCGCTTGCTTGACCTGCGCAGCCAGTCCAAACTTGCAGTAGACATCACATCTCCAACTCAACCCAACTCAACTCGAGCATCCACGATCCTCAAGAGCTGTTTTACCTCTCAGTCGCCCTCGTCTAAAGATCATCCATCACCTTATCATACACATCTCTACATCTCACGTTTATCTCATCGGCCGATTCCCTTCCACCCCGCATCGCTACGACGAACACAACCGATTCTACTCTTGTATTCTGTCTTTGCAGCCTTTCTGCGCAAACGAGACGACGCACATCTTTTGGCCGACTTTTTCAATCTCCGCCGACCAGGCCACCAGGTTGACGGCTGAGACAAATCTCCACCGCCAACCCTCTGAGTGACCGCCTTGCGCCCAAGCATGGCATCGTCCTACTATCGCAACTCCTACTACGACACCCTCGAGCAGCCCCGACGTCAACAGCGCACCCGCTCCAGCGAGGGCACCGTCAGCACTACTATGAGCTCGTCGACGGGCCGCGAGTCGGCTGCGACTCACGTCACAGAGGCTCCCACCTACTCCAAGAAGATTGTGGTTGTCGGCGATGGTGGTTGCGGCAAGACTTGTCTTCTTATCAGTTACAGCCAAGGATATTTCCCAGAGGTAAGCGACACTTTCTTGTACACAAAACGAATGCTGACCGCTCCTAGAAATATGTGCCGACCGTCTTTGAGAACTACATCACCTATCCTATCCATCCGCCCACCGGTAAGACGGTGGAGCTTGCATTGTGGGATACTGCAGGCCAAGAAGAATATGACCGTCTCCGACCGCTCTCATACCCCGAGACCGACCTCATCTTTGTATGCTTTGCCATTGACTGCCCCAACTCGATAGACAATGTGCTCGATAAGGTAAGAACCCCCTCTTGGGTGTCAGTATAGTACTAACAATGTCTTTGCAGTGGTACCCTGAGGTTCTGCATTTCTGCCCATACACGCCGCTTGTTCTGGTCGGCCTCAAATCAGATCTGCGCTACAAGAAGACATGTATCGACATGCTCAAGACTCAAGGACTTACGCCAGTCACCACTGAGCAGGGCATGGCTGTCGCCAAGAAGATGGGTGCGCAGTACATGGAGTGTAGCAGCAAGGAGATGCGCGGAGTTGACGAGATCTTTGAGTCGGCCATCCTTACCGTCGTGGCCAATGACCGGAAAACCCTTGAGGCTTCAGCAGTGGCTTCAAGCTCTGCCAACGAGGGGAGGTCATCACTTCCCGGGGCGGGACCCGTTAAGAGGAAGAAGAGAAAGTGTCAATTCCTCTAAGGCGTCCACGGCCTAAGATGATTGTTTTGGATTGAGGAGCTTTTCCAACTCGCGACTGTCCTTCAGTTCTTGGTCTCACCTCTCCTGGGGAGAGGGGGCTAAGCGCAATAGAGAGGAGGCAGCAGAGTGGGACGGCATTAAAAGAGTTGTAATGACCATCGCATGAACAGTGTTTCTTATAACGATTGCACTTTATGTTATCTTTTTCCTTTTCTTTTTTTGTTTTATCAATGTTCAACATCGACAGAAGATCCTACGAGGGAATGAGCCGAGGAGGTGAACCGGCAGAGATTATTGGGAAGCGCTCCCTCGATCATCTGGGGGGTCGCCTCGGAGGTATAGGGGACACACAGAGTGGTGTTCAGATGGATGATGGTTTGGCATGGCACGGCACGCAACGCAACGCAACGCATTGGGATTATGGAGTGATTTAGAAGATCAAGGATGGAGGGAGGACAACAATCGGGCTATTTCTTTGTACTGGGGCGACATCTGGGCAGAGCACTTTCTAGATGCCTCTACAACTTGTTGATGGTCTTTTTTTCTGCTTCTTGTTTGTAGTATGGTACTGTTCATTCGATAGGGTCGTTGGGGTAGGGTTTTTGAAAACATTTTTAAAAGCAGCTTGTGTGTGTGTCTTATTGTGAGGTGTGTTGCGAGGCAATGTTTGTGCTGTATCATGAAACATCTACAATGGCAAGACGTCATTGTGTTAGTTGAACCAGAGTGAGCAAGATACTCGACATCTTCATTGGGTGGGTATATCCTAGAGAGTCCGAGATCAAAGTTGGTACAGCCAAATCCCCCAAGGTCATTTCATGCAAGAAATAGTGGCGGCTTCCCTCCAGCCCCGCCCGCCTGTGTTATACACATCTTGTTTATGTACAAGGTCCCAGCTCTTGTAAACTTTTCTTTTGTCCCAGCATCTTTTAACCGTCATCATGAGAGGAGCATTCATTATACACTGTGAGCCAACGCCGACCGATAACCCTTTAATAGTACACGCAATTGCGGCCCGGGAAGGAACAGATCCCGGGCATTAGAGTAGTTTAGTTGTTCTTGACGACACCGACCTTGGCGGCGCGCAGCACCCGGCCGTTGAGCTTGAAGCCCTTCTGCTGGACAAAGAAGACGGTGTTGTCCTCCTTGTCGGGCTGGGGGGCCATGAAGGTGGCCTCCTGCTCGTTGGGGTTGAACTTGTCACCCTCGGGGTTGGTGCGCTCGAGGCCGTGCTTCTTGAGGGTGCTCATGAGGATGTCCTCGGTCATCTTGAGACCCTCGTACAAGTTGGCGAGGTCCTGGAGGTGCTCGGGCTTCTCATCGACGTTGAGCTTCTCCTGGGGCACCATGCCCAGGGCGCGGTCCAGGTTGTCGACGCTGTCGACGAGATCCTTGGCGAACTTTTGGATGGCAAAGTCGCGGGCCGTCTTGACCTCACGCTGGGTGCGCTCTTGAAGGTTGCGGAAGTCGGCGACAGTGCGCAGGCACTTGTCCTGGTGTATAGTCAGTATATGTAAGGGATTGTGTAGCTTGTCAATCGAGTCACTAACCTTCCAGTCTCGGGCCTCGGTTTCTTTGGCCTCGAGGGCCTTCTTCAGCTCGGCAACAGCGTCGGTCTCGCCATTGGTGCTCTTCTCGTCCTTCTTGCTCTCCGTCTTGGCCTCCTCGGCAGGCTTTGCAGAGTCAGACTCCTTCGCATCGCTGTACCATCTTGACACGGCGGGCTGGGCGGCTCTGAGGGTAAAGGCGGGCGCCGACTGGAATTGCGACTGGATGAAGGGCCGAGGGGCGGCGGCGCGGGGAGCGGCGCGAAGGGCTCTGGAGGAAGCAGTGACGGCCTGTCGGAACATTGTGAATGTATTAGAGGAGGGTGAATATATGGGGGTGAAGAGAGATTGGAGGTGGGAGAAGAGAATTGAAGCTGGTGGGCTTATGTAGCGGCGGCTTGTATGATCAGGAAGTTTAAGATCCCCTCCACTCCGAGTTAGGACTGAAATTTTAAGCTGTCGGCATGATCCAGAGGCTGGCGCCGGCTGCGCTGCCGGGGAAGCTTCCAGCATTGGAGGGCAAGGTACGTAGCGGCGGATCAACGAAAGCCCGCCAGAGCTCATGCCCCGCTGGATTTGGCCAATAACCTCTCATGGTAACTAGCAAGGACCCACCTTTTGCTGGCCTACGTCGTGCTCTGGCAACCTGGAGGCACGGAAGGCTAGCTATTGCTTCAGTTCATCCAACGAAACAAACACCATCTCGACGACAACCATTCCACCCTCATCAACGCCATAACGCTTGCCAACTGCCCTCGCCGCCTACCCATCACCACCTACGAGCACCTCTCCGACACGCGCAACTACTTCTCTCACAATGGCGGCGGCCGAATCGGCGAGGGTCCAGGAAGCACAGAAGCTCGCCAAGTCAGACCCGAGGAAGGCTGAGGCTATCTACAAGGAAATCATCTCCCAGGCTCCCAGCACCACATCCGATGCTGCTACGCGCGAGTACGAGACGGCTTTGATTAGCCTGGGCGAGCTTTACCGGGATGAGAAGTGCGCGCTGCCTGTCGATATTATCTATTGCTGTCCCCCACTAACGACGACTATAGGAAGACACAGGAGCTTGTGGATCTAGTCAAGGAGAGCCGATCAGTATTCTCTTCCTTTGCCAAGGCCAAGTCGGCAAAGCTGGGTATGCCTTCATATCAAGAACGCTTGCGCTTACCCCAGCTAACACGGTGACGTAGTCCGCCAACTGCTCGACCTCTTCAAGGAAATTCCCAACAGCACCGATATCGAGATCGCCGTCACCAAGGACTGCATAGAATGGGCCACCGCTGAGCGCCGCGCCTTCCAGCGCCAGGACCTCGAGGCCCGCCTCGTCGCCCTGCAGATGGCCAAGCAGTCGTACTATGAAGCCCTCGGCCTCATCAACGGCCTCCTCCGCGAGCTCAAGCGCCTCGACGACAAGCTCCGCCTCGTCGAGGTCCAACTCCTAGAGTCGAGGGTCTACCACGCCCTCGGCAACATCCCCAAGGCCCGCGCCGCCTTGACCAGCGCACGCACGAGCGCTGCAAGCGTTTATACCCCCCCGCTGCTGCAGGCCAACCTCGACATGCAGAGCGGCATGCTCCACGCCGAGGACAAGGACTTTAACACTGCTTTTTCCTACTTTATCGAGGCTCTCGATGGATACCACACCCAGGACGAGGGCCCCAAGGCTCAGGCTGCCCTCCAGTACATGCTTCTCTGCAAGATCATGCTTAACCTGGTTGACGATGTCAACAACCTCATGACCTCGAAGCAGGCTCTCAAGTACGCCGGGAAGAACCTCGAGGCCATGAAGGCTATCGCCCGCGCTCACTCAAATCGGTCACTCGAGGAGTACGAGCGCGCCCTTTCTTCTTACCGCTACGAGCTTGGAAGTGACGCCTTTATCCGTAACCACCTCCGCCGCCTCTACGATGCCATGCTCGAGCAGAACCTTATCAAGGTCATCGAGCCCTTCTCTCGCGTCGAGATCGACCACATCGCCAAGATGGTTGGCCTCGACACTCAGCAGGTGGAGCGAAAACTGTCGCAGATGATCCTCGACAAGGTCATCATCGGCGTCCTCGATCAGGGCGCTGGCTGCCTCATCATCTTTGACGAGACGCAGCGGGATGAGTCGTACGACGCGGCTCTGGCCACCATTGAGAAGCTGAGCAACGTGGTGGATGTATTGTACACGAACCAGGCGTCCATGCTGGAATAGAGGGTATGGGCTGGGCTTTCTGGGGCGGCGGGAGTGCGCCGCTCATCTGTATGTAATATGTCACACAGTAGATCAGGCGTTTCAAGAGGGAACAGAATCGTCTATGCTGAACATTTTTTTCATCGCTGCGTCATTGTTCATGTGCTTTGTACTGCTATGTCTAACTTTCATATCCTAAATAACGGTGTTTTTTTGTAAAAAGGGGTATGTGGTGATGATGTGCGCGTGGGTAGGCATGTAACCAACAATTGCAATGCAATGCAATCAATGCTTGAACGATACAAATTGGTATCTCCTCCAAAGGACAACTCATCGAAACGCCTCATGCATGCTAGACCAGCTAATTCCTATACTTTCATAAAACTCAATTCGAAAAATCCTCAGTGAAACATGACTTGTGATGATGGTCTGTCGACGACGCCTCGGCTCCTCCTCTCCTCGCCGAGAATCAGGGCAAACAGTCTCTTTGCCAGGGAGGCTTCGTCCCAGCCGCCGACCTCGGCCTTGAAGGCGTCAACGCAGTCGAGATGCCAGCGCTCCAGCGTCATGGATTCGCCCTGGCTCTTGACCGTCTTGCCTAGGTACTTGTCTGAGCGGCGCTCGTAGTTGGTGCGGTAAGGCCCCTGGCGGCGTAGCTGGAGTAGCTCGTCCAGGAAGAGCCAGTGCTGCCGTGTCCAGACGGTCTTGGACAGTGGTTGGGGCTGCTGTTGTTTTGCAACGGGTGAGGCGTCAGACATGGACACGTCAGAAGCAACGGCATTCTCCTTGTTGGCATTCTGTCGGGGTGGAGGTCTTAGGCGCGGACGTTGAGCTGTGTTGCTAGTCTGCGATGCTGCAGATGAATTGGATAGTCGGCGTTGCTGTCGAGCTTTGGCCTGCTCAACAGGGGAGAGAACGCTGCTCGTAAACTCGACCACACGACCGGGTGTGTGTGGTTTCAGGGGAGAGCGCAGACTGGACTTGGTTGGGGACGCGTTCTTAGGTGGGAGGGGTCTAAGAAGGGGCCGAGATGGCTCAGGGGAGTCTTCGCTGGCATTGGAGGTCTCTTGCTGCCACCTCTGGATGTCGGCATGAGAGAGCTGCATTCTTGGCGGAGTGGGCGCGCTATTAGCTGATGCAGCCGGTTGTTGGGTTGACGTCCTGAAGAAAGACTGGCTCGGCTGTCTTCGTTGAGGCGTAAAGTTCCTCTTCTGTGGCACAGAGGGCATCTCATGCTCCTCTAGTTCTTCAGGCTCTGACTGCTCCTCAGTCCCCTCCTGCTCCGTGGAAGCCCCTTGGGATTCTGCTTCCTCTTGTTGCCGCCTTGATACTGGCTGCGGAGCGCGGACAGGAGAGAAGAAACCAGCCCGAGGCCCAGCTCGAGGCCGTAATTCCTGCTGTGGCAACTGTGGGAACATGGAACTTGTTGGTAGGGTGGGCTCTGCTTCTACCATTTCGGGCTCAGCTGGTCGGGGCGCAGGCTTCTTGGCTGATAGAAACTTCTCAGCTAGCATCCCCGGGATAGTCGCTGGTGAAGAGAAGAAGGTCGAAAGGTCGAAACGACTAGCCTTGACAGCAGACTCCGGGGGTTTGTTCTGTTGCTGTTGGGCGTTGCCCCTCTGAGAGAGAAGTGAGTACTCCTCTGCTTGAGCTGGCTCCGGCACAGCGTCCTCTGTGGCATCAGCGTCTGATGCTTCCACGTCTGCTTCCTCCTCTACCACCGCCTCTGCCTCCTCCTCCTCCTCTTCGTCGGCTTCTTGTGTGACTTCCTGGACGTTGCTTTGGGCAACGGGTTCGATCTCACGCTGTGCCTCGCGACTTGTGCGTTTCGTCCAGGGGCTAGGTAGGGCGCTCCGCCTGGTAGCGGGAGCCTCGGCCGTCCTCTCCCTGGAGTGTTGGCGAGCCGCGCGAGGAGACGACCGTTGTGCTTCAAACTCCCAAATGTCCATATCGTCACCATCCTGTTCAGGCTCCTCATCTGCCTCGTTGCTTGCGCCATCTAGCTGCCCTTGACCGATAGATGGGCTCTTTGACTTCCCAACTGTCGATCGAGCAAAGGCTTCAAGTGGGACATCGCCACGAAGATTTGCGCTAATAGGGCCCTCGTTCTCTACCCAGCTCATTCCATCCTCACTGCGAGGCTGGAAACGCAAAGAGCTTGCCGTGGACTCCCGAGATGATCTCTGTGACCGCCGTGGTGAAGGATCACCGCCAATTCTCTCAAGTGCCTCCATAAAGCTAGCTTGACCTGTGTGTCGGGTATCCGTACCAAAGGGATCTTCGTATGCCTCGTTGGCCGGGGGTATTTGAGTAACTGCAGGGAAGGCAACGGATCTCCCAGGGCTAGCGCTGATGCGTCGGGGGCTGGTGCTCATACGTCGGATCGACTGCGTCTCCCGGGGTCCCAGCTCTCTGCTTACAGAGCTCCTGAAGGGGCTCCGCAGGTGTTGCTCACGTGTCTCTGGCGAGGGAGGATCCGATGTCACGCTTTGCAACGCCCGTCCTGCTCGCACGATAGGGGAGAGTGTAGGCCGTCGCACCCTCTCCGATACTGCTTCTGGCAGAAGTGACTGGGGGTCCTGAAGAGGAGATGTCATCTGGTTGAGTGGCGTAACCTCAGGCTGGTGGACGTCGTTGGGTACGAATAAGCCTGTTGGCCGCGGCTCGTTGATATCAGGTAATTCCTCGTCCTGATCTGGCTCGTTCTCCTCCTGCATTTCTTCAACAGGTTCATCCTCGATGACATCCTCGATATCTTCATCGACAACTTCCTCCACGATTTCCGGAATAATTTGGACTTGACTGGCCGAAGATTGCCCAGATGATGGAGCAGCCGGAGAAGAGCCCCGAGGGGATATAGATGTGGCCGAGGTTCCCGACATGTGTATCAATTTTTCAGCATTATCCTCTTGAGCATCAAGTTGCGGTGGGGTATCATCAGGGGTAGGGAGACGTCCAGCGTCCGATCGAGAGACGACACTTCCATGGGAAGCTACCGAGGGGTCTCTCTGCGCTTCCTGCTCCTGTTCTTGCTCCTGTTCCTCCTCTTGTTCTGGCTGTTGTTGTTGCTCTTCCTCCGCGTGTTCTTGTTCTTCCTCCTCTTCAGCTGGCTGGGGAGGCTGCTCATCCTCCATTTCCACATCTTCATCTTCCAACAATGTCTCATCCACAACATTTCTTCGAGGTCGTCGTGGCGTTGCAGCTTCAAGTACAGCATCAGGAATTTCGGAAAATGAATCATCATATAAGTTTGACTCTTCATGGTCTGGGGGGGCTGATGATCTTTGCACCCCAGTAGTAATAGGAGAGTCATGCTTTTCAGGTGCCTCCAGTGCCGCATCTGCATTCTCTCTTGCGTTCGACTCCAATACTTGGCGCCGTAAGGGTGTAGATCCCATCCTTCGAGGGCTTCGAAGCCACCTTGGGGACATGTTACGATTCGGCGAAAAAGTCAGGGGAGGACGAATGCTGGACTTCCTAAGCTCCTCTCGGGGTGGAGAGGAGGCAGGTTCAGCTGGTTTGGGGGCTTCAGCAGGTTCCGCCTCCGTGTTAGGCCTGTCCCGATCTTGTAAGGACTGGCGCAGAGATTCAAGGGTGTTGTTGATGATCATGCTCGTTTCTTCGCCGATATCGTTCTCGGTGACTTCCTGGACAGAACTGCGCAAGTTCGCCTGCAGAGATGGAAGGGAGTCCATGAAAATCATGCTAAAGTCTTCGCCAGCCGCAATGGTGTCGTTATTCATAGGTCGAATTTCACTTTCAGGTTCGTCTGCGGAAGAGACATCGCTGCCAGCCGGTGGAAGGTATCCGTAGTCTCCGAAATCCGAAGTATCGGCCTCTTGGTCATGGTCAGGGCTTGAGGGCGCAGGTTCTCTTTGCGCTATTCGACTTGAGGGTCTTGGGGTTGGTTCGTCGTCCAGAGTTGCCATCCAAATATCCGAATCAGGTTCCGAATGCGGCAGAGCCGTAGTATCGTTCTGGGTGGTATTGTTCTGGGTTTGGTTTGCTTGCAACCCTTCAGCTTCTGAAGGCGTGATGATCAGAGTCATCTCATTGTCAACTTGAGAGTCGTCACCCCGAAGAGAGGGAAGCGCAGGAGCTTCATTCATCACTTCCGCCACCTCTTCAGGACCAAGTTCCTGCCGTCTCCTTTCAATATCAATAACTCCTCCATCCACGTCAGTTCCCAACTCGCTGGGTGGTTCAACAGGTCGATTCTTGGGCGGTCGGCCTCTCCTCTTTGTTCCTGGCGTGCGGCCTGCGTTGGACCCTCTCGTCTCGTTCCCCGTCTCCGTACCCTTCGATAATCGCGGTCTCCTTGGTGTTTTCTTGATTGGGGTTCCCGACTTTCTCTTGGTGCCTGCGCCGGGCAGAGGTGTTCCATTTATTTTCCTCGGCCGTCCCCTCCTCCTCGGGGTCGCGTTTGGGTCAGCCATCTCCTCCTCAATAGCCTTCTTCAAAGGCACAGTCGTCGTGGTCGCCATTTCTCTCCGCCTAGACATTGGTAACAAAGGACTCGAAGTCTGGAACAGTTTTCGTCGCGCGCTTCCCGGACCCGCCGTCGCGCTTGGCTCCTCCGTCTCGACCGTCACCAATAGCTTCTGGGGGGCTCGATCGTCGCCGACCTCGAGCTCAAACATCTGCTTCCTGGGCGAGGTGCCCAGGGTGGAAAACCGGCTGGACCGTTGACTGCTGCGGGGGACGCGGCGCGTTGTAGAAGGCGGGACGACGCTCGTATCGATGGTGTCGTTGAGCGGATCAGGCGACGACATGATGTCCACGCTGGGCGTGGCGATGTTGGCAACCGAGTGCCAGCGGACTTGGAAGTCGGACTCGAGACCGGATTTTCTGCGCCGTGGCATTGACGAGCAATGATAGAATAACTCAAAACAATCATGGATGGGTGGGATATGCCAGATACCGCGACGCTGGGCTGAAGTTGGTTAAACCCGCGGTGTGGGTGTGCGACTTGCAAGGATGAAGCGTGTGTGGCGGTTGATTTGTTTACTTAGACCTGGATGGGGCCTAGCGCGGGCACCGCGTCCGCACTTTTTGTTTCTCCTTGGTTCCGAATTTGGGGATTCTCAAGATGCCGAGTTTTGGTCGTTTTAAAGTGGCTCTCCTGACAATGCCCTGATCAAGTTTAGCGTGGCCCGGTAAAGAGCTGGGCTTGCCGACCTGGTCTTCCCCACGTCACATGCCGGTCCAACCAACAAAAGTGGAGGGGAAAGGAGGAGGTGACTTCATTTTCAGATGCGGAACATTGGCCGATTCCAGCTAAGGTTACTCGGTATCATGTCCCGACCTCGGTATTTTTAGGGGCACAGGCTCCTCCTCGAGTCAAGTTGACCAGACGCCGATCCCGAGATAGACGCTCTTAAGCCTAGGCAGGCCCTTAAGCCAGGCTTAGGCATGTTCTGTTCTTGACTGGGTTTTAAGTCGAGCACGGCCCCGCGAAACCGTCCCTTTCCCCAGGTTTTTTATAAGTTCCCCAATTCCCTTCCCCTTCACTTGACTCTCGCGCATTGAAAGCTCAAGCCTCTTTCTGTCTGTCGCTGCTCGCTTAAGCATATCCCGACGTGCATCATGTCCGACAACGCCGACAAGGAGACGACCCCCCAGGTCGAGATACCTGAAAAGGTCGAGATCACGCCCGCAAGGGTTGTTGTCACTGAGAAGGCGCCCATCCCTCAGAACGACAATGTCGCCCACGCCCTCGCCGGCGCTGGTGGTGGTCTTTTGTCCATGATCCTGACGTAGGGCTGGTTTCCAGTATCGCATCGCGATCGCTAGCTGACGAGTACTCAAGGTACCCACTCATCACCCTCTCCACGCGCGCCCAGGTCGAATCCAAGAAGGCCGAGAGCAAGTTCAGCGAGGCTGTTGGCAACATCATCGCCCGTGAGGGTATCTCGGGCCTCTACTCCGGTATTAACTCGGCCCTCTTCGGCATCAGCATCACCAACTTTGTCTACTACTACTGGTATGAATGGACCCGCACCTTCTTTGAGAAGGCGGCTGCCAAGGCCGGCCGCGCCGGCGCGAAGCTTACCACGGTCGAGTCCATGATCGCCGGAGCCATCGCCGGGTCGGCCACCGTCATCATCACCAACCCCATCTGGGTTGTCAACACCCGCGTCACCACCCGCCAGCAGGAGAAGAAGAAGGACGACGTCGAGGCCGGTGCCGAGGCCAAGCCTTCCAAGCCCCCCAGCACCATCGGTACTCTGCTGCAGCTCCTCAAGAACGAGGGCCCCCAGGCACTCTTTGCCGGTGTCATTCCGGCCCTGGTCCTCGTCATCAACCCCATTCTTCAGTACACTCTCTTTGAGCAGCTGAAGAACACGGTGGAGAAGCGCCGCAAGGTTACCCCTACTATCGCCTTCTTCCTTGGTGCTCTAGGCAAGCTGTTTGCGACCACCATCACCTACCCTTACATCACTGTCAAGAGTCAGATGCACGTTCAGAGCGAGGGCAAGAAGGAGGGCTCTTTTGCCGCTCTCCGTCGCATTGTGAGCGAGAGTGGTTACTCTGGTCTCTACAGAGGTGAGTATCTATATCTATACTTACATGGAACGACATGCTAACAGAGAAATAGGCATTGGCCCCAAGGTCACCCAGAGCGTGCTGACTGCTGCCCTGCTCTTCGCCTTCAAGGATGTGCTATATGAGCAGACCGTCCGACTTCGCATGGCTGGGGCTCGACGACGTGTTGCGGCTTAAGCGATGCCTCACAATCCCAGTTAGCTCAGGCGCGGGTCCCACCTCGACTATCTCGAAGACCCAGTATTGAGGACAGACCAATCGCCTTGATACCGATATCTCGGCAGCCAATACATTTGCGGTGAGAATGGAATTGGCATATCAACAGATTCTGACACGATGAAATCGGCGTTTCTTTTTGTTTAATTCCTTGACTCGCAGTCATTCGAATACGTATTCGAATCTATTGTCAAATCTACAACAGGGATGGAGAACGGATGGATGGATGGATGGATGGAAGAGGAGGCAAACTCTCATTTGGATACCCAAATGTACAACTATACCTGTGAACGCACTCTAGAATTTAGCCTCATTTTCTCCTTTGAATTATCATTTATCCTCTAAGGCCTCTCCCATCTCCTAGGAAGGGATTATCCGGGGCACGATCCACCAGTCGTGATAAGATTTATCCGGTGTGGGCACCTCGGCCTTGATCTTCAGTTCACCGGTTTCCTGTTCTCTCTTGACAGCCTTTTGCAGTGCCGAGATTGCTATTCCCGTCGCGATGCAGGCCTTGAGGGCATTCTTCTTGGACGCGACCCACCGGTCGTGGGAGCCGACCGAGAACGAGTCCTCGGGCGTGAACTTGGACAGCACCTCGAAGCCCTTCTTAGCACCTGCGAGGGCCTTTTCTGCGTATTCGAGGATCTCCAGAGTCGATATCTCGGGCTGCGATGTTCCTTGAGTAAATTCGTCAAAGCTGGGGAGGGTTGGCAGGCCGATGGCAGCAAACGGCCGCATTCTGAGGTCGTACCGAAGCTCGTTATTGCTATAAGGTCTTAGGGGCACCTTGACGAGCTTCAGCCGGGTGAGGACGGTGTAGAGGCAAGACAGGGCGTCCGACAGTTCCCACGTCACGGCAGAATCGAGCAGCATCAGCCGGATGAAAGCCAGTGATCGTTCGAGCTGGCGGTCGACGGCTGGGTTCGGGTGCTGTGAGGTTGCTCGGGACTCCTCTGCCCTCCGGATGACAAACGACTTGATCCTCTCCGTGTGCTGAACCCTCCACTTAGCAAGGTAGTTCAGGTACCAATACATGCCGGCGAGTTCATCTGGCTGGTAAACCTCCAGCTCAAAGCCCAGTTGCACGATCCATTCCATCAGGCGCATCTTGTACAGATATGTCCACGATGAAAGCGGAAGCGAGTACGTTTCCATTGGAATGCCCATGCCTGTTGATTGTCTCATCGGCCGTTCCTTGACCTTGGTTTGGATGATTTGGTCAATCTCCTCAGCATCCACCTGCAGATTCTCCCAGTCCCGGATGATGTGACAGAGTGTGCGTCGTACACGGCATCGGTTCTGGCAGAATGTTCGCAGTACATCCAGGAAGGGCTGTGCTGCTCTCTGACGGAAGAGCTCCATCTGCTCAGCCATGACGAAGCGTGGGTCCTGAGGAAACTCGATCTCGTCGTTAGCACGGTCAAGCTGAGGGCTTGCTGGCATAGACACGGTAGCAAAGTCATCATCCATGATCTGACGGATGCTCATGGAACCCAAAACTTCCATCTCGTTAAACAGGAACGTCTGCAATAGAGTTCGCACGTATACCAGTGGCTGGGGCTTCTTGGCCTGGAAAGTTGACACAAATGTCTGTCTGTTGTCAGCATTGGCCTCCTGAGATTGGAATTTTTATTACCTGAAGACTCTGGGAGTCGTTGTAATGAAGCACGTCGATCAACTGAGCACCATCCTTGAACAGCCTCAACAAATGACCAAAAGCGTCGTCAAACTCCAGCTTCACGATAGGTCTCGGAGGCATGGTACTAGCAAGCTTGCGCTGCAGCTTGGCGCTGAAAGCTTCGTCAACGGGCCGTCCTAGTGAGTGAGATGATTTGATGCTCGGAAGTAGTTCCAGGCCCTCCAGCCACGGCTTCCTAGCGACATCGGGTTCTCTCATGTGCTGGGGGCATTGGGTAGCATCCAAGAACAAGGATCTAAGTTGTAGCCGCCGGTCAAGGGCTTCTCGAATCTCGTCACTGACTTCCTCACCCAGCGTGGCCAGAAGGCTCCTCGCTTCTTGGATGGCTTGCTGGACAGCCTGTGGCTGTATCTCAGCAAGTAGGGTCCTGTTGTACGTGTTTGTGACAAAGTCTTCCTCCTATATAGTGTCAGATCTTAATTTTGAGTCCGATGCAGTGATGGTACTCACCTCATAGTAATGTTCAGACCTAATCCTTTCGTTCACGTAACCACATGCCTTGAGCAGGCCGAGACAATAGGCCCGAAGAATCTCGAGCATACTGGACCTGCTTGGGGAGTCATTTGGCGCATTTCGAACAAACCGGGCTTCTCCCACGCTGAATGGCGTTGGCATAAGAAGGGCCTCTGCGTAGACGCTGGTGAACAGAGTCTGGGAGAGTGGATATCCCAGATGCCATGCCATCTAAGGAAATGAGTATATCCCCAGTTATCAAACAGTGAAAAACACTCACCTCGTGGCAAAGAAGCTGATCTATGACCCCCAGCACCTCCTCCGGGAGCAGCGGCCGACTGACACCATACAGCTCCTCAAGATCATCGGCTGACTTGACACAACCGCTGTCCATCTTGGGATCCATGATCTATGCCTGTGAGCCTCGCCATGAGTCGTAACCGCTACAAAATCATACCTCGAGAGCCGCGACGGACTCGAAAAGCGTAAAGAAGCCATCCTTGACGAGATCGCCGGGTGCGAGAGCTGCAAGTGTCAATCGCGGGGTTCACCAGAGAAGCACGAGACCAAAGGACCTACTCTGAACAGCCTGAGCAAACTTTTCGGTAATGTCAACGGCGAGGATACCCTCGGTCTTGATATCAGGCGGCGGTGGAGGCGGCGGATCATATTCCTGGCCCAGCGATAGTCTCGCGATATCTGGGCCTCAAAGTCAGACTTTTTGAAGGGGTCATCACCAGGAACCTCTCCCATCATTTTGGGTACCCACCGTCCGGGATCCCGATACCGAAGTCGGCCATGTCGACGATTTAACGCGACAATCCGCCGCATCAAAAAGGGATGGGGGGTTATTATCGCACGAAGCGGGCGTGCGAGGGTGAAGGAACAAAAATGGCAGGAATTATTAAAGAGTAAAGTTAGGCAAGGGAGCAAGATGATGGTTCAGATGGTTTAGGTTCCACTGCTCCCCGTCTCTTTTTGGGAGCCCAAAAAGTCACCAGATGGCTGATGAGATTGACATTCACAAATGAGCGAGAATGACGAATGTTGTGAAATCGGTCAAGGGAAAACGAATGGTCAAGTTCTACTGTCATGAAATCTGATTGTTGACGATATGGGTTTTGTGGAGAGGCACCTGTTTTCCTCGGCGGTAGCCGGGTAGCCTCAAGCTGCGTCCCACCGAGCATCACCAGTGTAACAGTCGAGATGGGCACAACATACAGTCACCAGCAATTTTTCCTTGGAGTCCATCAATTGCAGTCGTCGTCTTTTTTGGTTGATTGATAACATTGCAGCAATCGTTATTGATACAGTGGCACTAGGTGCATGCAATTGGTTGCCCTCCCCGTGAGCAGGCTGAGCTGCTCTATTCCATCTCGTCTTGGGCCGAGCAAACCCCTCGGGCGCCACGCTCCCATTATCCACGCGCAATCATCCATACGTCGATCTGCTTTAAGCAGCGTTCTCGGCGGCGTTGGCGGCGTTGGCAGCGGCCAGGTTCTGGGGCTCGCCCTGCTTGCCGTTCTGTTGAGGTAATTAACCCGTCAGTTTTCCATCTCTAGTTCCGCATCGCCGGGAGGTCGCCTTACCTGCCACTTGGCGAATCGCAGGTCCATCTCGCCTCGTCGCTCGGCAGCGATTCTCTTATCCTCCTTCAAGCTTCGGCGGACGACGCGGGCGGCGACGGCCAGGTAGCGGTTGTAGCTATTCGGAAAAAGGGTATTGTTAGTCTCGGGGCTCGGACACGGTCGGTCGGGGGGGAGAAAATTGGACAGGATATATCCAATGGTCGAATCGGTAGGGCGAAGGGGTCAATTGACGTACGTAAGGCCAGCGGCTTTCCACGCAGCAGTCATTTTGGCGGTGTTGAAGGTTGATTGGGGGGAGATGGGGATTTTGGTAGTTGGTGATGGCTGAATCTTTGCTCCGAATTACCGGTCGACGGCTGAGCTAGGATTGGTAGCCTCAGGCAGCTACCCGCTTGAAGCCGCAGCCGGTAAACAACCGGAAGATGTATCTCATCACGTGACTCCCGGCACTTGGACGGAATGAGCCTCGATATGCACGCGTATCAATAAGCAGAAGCGATTCTCTCAAAGAGACAACCATGATGACCAATGCCTTAGTCAAGATGGAATCGGGTCTCGATAAGCTTAAACAAGAGGTGCCTTTATGAGTTTATTCTGCCACCAAGACGATTGTGCATCTTGACCGGCTGGGGGCGCGCCCAATGGGCCGCCAGACACACCATCAAAAGCCAATGATAGCGGCATCAAACTTGCCAGGGGCCAACACGACGGCGGCCGCCCTACATCTGTAATTTGGGGTCGGAGACGAGAATCCTTGTCTTTGTTTTTGCAGACTCTTATTTCTTCCTCGTCGCGCCCTCCTGCTGTCTTTTTCTGATTTTGCAAGCGTGAATTGTCTTGTTTTCTCTTGTCCGACGGTATCGCCATGTCCTCCAAGCCCTCTGCGAGACGGCGTCAACCGCAGAGGTTCGCCCTGCCCAATGGCAAAGAAGTGATCGTGTCCCTACCCGAAGATTACGACAACCTTCGCAAGAAGTACGGCAGCCAGGACGAGATACAGGTCGAAGTCGTCCTCCACGGTTCGACAGAGCACTGCAACTATCTCAGAGAGACTCGAGATCATCACGAGGGTCGTCGAGCCAAGCTGCGAGAACGGCATGGTCCAGCCTTTGACGAGTGGGAGGACGTGCAGAGCCAGCTGGACACGTTCAACAGCGAAATAGACCGGCTCTCTACCAACACCAACGGTCTGAGCGCCAACTTTAACAAGTTTGGCTATGGTGCTGAACTACGAACCTACAATGATGATGAGACTCCAGATTTGGATACGTCCGCGTCGGATACGGTGTCCATCGCCTCGAGCTGGAGCCAAGCCCGTCTAGGAGAGACTACCAAGCTCTTCAAGAAGCCGGTGGTAAAGCAATGGTTTCACAAAGGCTTGCTATGGCGCGCTTCAGAAAATACGGAAATCATGGCTATCGAGCTGTTCTTTGACCTCCTCTACGGTAATTCCCCAAGCTCACCGCATAGTGCCAGCGTCTAATATGTTAATAGTCGGCATCATTCACATCAACGGCGAACATGTCTGGGCTGAACCGACCGGCAAGGAATTGCTCCGCTTCGCAATCACCTTTATCATGTCGTGGAAGATCTGGGCCGATGTCACTTTGGTCTTGAGTTGGTTCGAAACCGACGATGTCATGACTCGATTGGAAATTCTATTCGAGATTGCTTGTCTACTGGGGTACGTTGATCGAGCCTATGAGAGAGGAGATGTCTAACATGTCAAGATTCACCACCAACATGACATATGCCTTTTACGACAACGAGGAACACAACACGTACACGATGCTGGTATCTTTCTATCTCGCGGCTAGATTCAGGACCTTGGCCCACTACGTGGCCACCGGTTTTCTCCTGCCCATGATCCGAGGCGTCATGGTCTGCGAAGCCATCAACGTCTTGATACCCTCCGTCCTGTGGATCGCCAGTATTCACGTCGAGATGCCCTCAAGGCTGGGTCTCATCTGGGTGGCCCTCGCCCTCGACATGTGGGGTCAGGGCATCATCACCGGGCTCTTCAGGTACGGAAGAATGGCTGGTGAGAACAGCGGCATTGGCAGGTTCCTAGCCCAGGTCTTTGAGTTCTATCCCGCTGTCAACATTGAGCATCGAGTGGAGCGTACCAATGCCTTTGTCTCGCTGGTCTTTGGATACTCTGTCGTGGGCGTCATGTTCCAGAGCTATGGGGGCTATCACGTCAACACATTCTTGGGAAAGGCGGTGCTTGGACTTGTTCAAGCCTTTGTCTTTAACTGGATTTATTTCGACGTCGATGGCAGCAACATCGATGTTCATGCTATTCGACGTTCTATCATTTCGTGTAAGTGCTTTCCATTCCTGTTCAGACCGTTGACTAATAGCAAAAGCCTCCGTCTGGAACTACGCCCATCTTCCATTCATCATGGGCTACATCCTTGCCTCTGCTGGACTATCCAAGTTGGTCCTAGCAACAGACGCAGGCGGCGCCAATGCCGAGCAATTGTCGGATCACTACTCTCACCGCGCGGAAGACGAAGTCGCCAACGGCATTAGATTCTTCTATTGCCACGGCCTCGCCATCGCAATGCTCTTCATGGGAGTCATCGCCTACTGCCACGAGCACCGCAAGCCAGCAACCCTTCGCTGGAGCAAGAACACCCGACTAGCCAACCGTTTCGCCGTCTGCATCGTCATGTTCCTGCTGCCGATAGCAAAGAGCCTCAACTCTCTCAACCTCATCTCCATCACACTCGGTCTGACCGTCTGGGTCCTGCTAGTCGAGCTGTTTGGCAAGTCGTGCCGCAACGACCCCTTTATCGGCGAGAAGAAGGGATGCAGGGTGCGGTACTCGTGCAAGTGCAGCAAGAAGGCCTTTGAGAAGGCAAATGTCGATGAGAAGCAGGATGTGTCCGTTGCTGAGGTTCTTGAGCTTGGTGCAAGGGAGAAGACTGCAGTTGCGGAAGTGCAGGACTGAGTACGCATGAGACCATGATATCTGATAACTTGAACAATTCTCCATAAAACAGACTGCATCTATAGAAATCAAACCAGTTCCACCATTCTATATAAAACACAACATAAGAAATACATGGGTATCAACATCATCACATCTATCACCAACCCCTCAAGGACCACCAGAAGCACCTCCCATGATGACCATGGTCTGATGCATCCTCCTCCTGTCAACCTCCTTCTTCATCATCGACACGCAGCTCGCCACGGCCAACAGCTCCATCTGCTCCGCCTCTCCCTTCCGATCTGTCCACTCCCGGAGGTCCAGCATCAATCGACCTCCGTTGCCAGCCGTGCTCCTCCGTGTGCCTGGGGTCCGTAGTCCGGCACTGCGGACAAACTGCGCGACTCTGCTGCGGCGCTCCTCCTGCTTTCCGCCTTCAAGAGCAACGTTTGTCACTCGGTCGAGGACGAGTAGGCAATCGACTTCCTCGCCGACAGAAGATTGGGCTTCTCGGCGTTCAGCACGGCTACTGTACCGCCATTCAAAGGTGCCGAGATGAGTTCGCATGACAACGCTACGTGTCAGGCATCCCTTGCAGCTGATCTCAAACTCCTCTTCATGCTCATTTTCACCCGCACCACCGAGAAGGCGGATCTTGGGTGGCTTGCCAGGGCCGAAGCGGTACGTGGTAGTGCAGATGGGTGTCTGGGCTGGGTCGTCTGGGCGTGCGAGGAAGCAAGATCCAGAGTTGCGCGCCGGACGGATAGAGACGTACTCTGCCTGTTCAAGTTCTCCCGTGGGGTTCACGCCAAATACGTAGATGGGGTCCGGACGCGGGGGCAGAGGGAAAGCGATGAGTGCGAAACCAGGGGCTTCAATTTGGAGAAGCTTCGTTGGGGAAAAGCCAGAGTCTCTGGCAGATGAGCTTGAGCCACCGTTTTCGTAGATGGTTGTGTATCTTGGGAGTGACTCTGCTGAAGAAGATGCTGGAGAAAGCTGGGCAAGTTCATAGCCTTCAGCGGCCTCGTAGTTTGGAGGGAGGGTTGAGTGTCCCGTGGATCGCCGGTGGAGGCCAGAGGCCGGGGCCGAGATGGTCTCGATTGTTGTTGTCATTGTGTAGAAGTCCCTGTATGAGACACTGAGGACTGCTCTGGTGTTGTTGAAGATAGGTGTTTTGTTTGTAGAAGTGTTGACTTGTAGTCTTATACTTGATGTGTGTTGTTGACTGACAACTAAACTCATAAAAGCCAAGGAAAAGGCCATCTATATATCCTCAAACCCCCCACCATCGTATCCCTCGCACAAAACCCCATCGCCACAGGTTACAACAAAACCCGAAGAATACGGTGACCACAGCCCGGGGCATATCGCCGGGCATCCTTCAGCCCTGTGTGTCACGATGATCCTCATTGGCCCCTGTCGTGATCCACGCCCCGCTTGCTAATCTCGATGGGTGGAATACGATGAATGCGAGATCTACAGAGTGGGGCCGTGCTGAGGCGGTGCCGTCCCGGTGGGAATGGCTTCCCTCATGGCGGCGCAGTAGACGGGTGCCCGACTACTATGGGAGTCAGGTGATTGTCAGGCATAGTCACATATTGTTGTCAAGTGAATCATTGGTGGAACGAGTTATACGGGCTATACGCTCGTGGGATATGTTATTGGTAAATTGGAAAATACCCAACAATACATGATCATCTCCATCTTGGAAATATCCATTCCCAGGGATCCATCATCCAAAGCGCCACGCTCACAAGTCCAAATGTATCGGCAGTCTGACATGTTCCCTCAACCTCTTGTGTTTCCTCCTCTTCCCTTGCTCACGGAATTCTACCAAGACAAGTAATATCGCGATCCAACTGCTCCTCAATCCACATGGGCCACTGATTATAGATCTGGTGCTCATAGTCGATGTGGGCGTTGATATACTTGAGCCAGCGCGCAAAGCCTGGGTCAATGTCGGGCTCCATATCGCGCTCCGAGTACTTGACCGCCACCTGCTTCTCCTGCCCCGTTATAGGGGTCATGATCTCGTTGATCCCGATCCAGTGCGAGTGAAGCAGCATCATGACCTGGTTATCTGGGTTGATAAGGGCTTCGAACGTGTCGTGGGGGAGCATCATCCACCAGCCGTATTGTCTCGTGTACGCTTTATAGGCTGCGGGAACCAAATGTCAGATCCATGCTTGCATATCACGGTAGGGGTAATAAGAACTCACCATCCCACGAGTTGAGATAGAGCTGCTCGAGAATGTTCACCAGATGCTGGTGGTATTCTGTCTCCACCTGCTCTTTGCATAACGGCTTCAGATTCACGACCGCCTCCATGGCAGAATCGACGTAGCCCTTTTGGATCAACGGCAGGCCCTCCATGAGTGGCTCCAAGAGTGCGTCCTGTTCTTGCTCCGGCATATTTTGGAACAAAGGTTTGATACCTCGGAACATCATCTGCATGCCCACGACCATGATACCTCGGATAAACGTCAGAAACTCGGCAAGTCCATCCTCGAGGCTGACGGATTGGAACGTTAAAGCGAAGCAGGTTGCTATCATGGCATTCGCCTCTTCGGACTCAATAGGCGCTCTCGATGTCTCTGAGAGACGCTTCTTTATGGCCCTGATCGCTTTGACGCGGTGGCTCATGGCAGCTGTGACGATGCTGGCGTCAGTCTTGATTAGCTGGGACGCTGAGAATCCCAGGATGGCATGCATAAGAAACTCGTGCTGCGACTGTCAGATACGAGAGTTTAGTTAACGGAGGAGTACATACGTTGTGCGCAATGCATGGTATCTCGTGCGTCCAGATCTCTTCCTGCTTCAGGGGGTGGTGCGGGTAGCATTGTGTTAGGAAGTGCTGGAAGAAACGCATGTCCTGTAAGCTGAAAAGCGGGATTTGGTGATGCGGCTGGTGGCATGTCAGCGGTGGATGACAGTTTCAGGGATCTAGACAAGCATACTTGGTGTGTAATCTGTGGCATAGCAGGGTACTCGCACTTGAGGCCAGTCTTGGTGCAATGACCACACGCAGGGCGCGTCTCCTGGCACTGGTTACAGTTAGATCTATTCGAAGCAATCATGACACGCGAGATATACCTTGATACGCCTTCTCTTGCAGTTGTAGCATCCCCGACGACTCTTGGTGTGTCCTCTCCGCTCCAACCTCTGCTTCTGAGCCGGCTGCCGCCTCGCGACCTCCGTGCTAGCGTTGGATGCGCTCTGGCCTTCAGAGCTCGGTGGGGTGGCCTTTCCGGACGAGTCTGACAGTCCTGTGTTGGTCTGTTCCTGGGCATTGTCGCCAAAGTTGATTTCGTCAGCCTGGAGAAAGGCGCTGTAGTCGATGTAGGGCTGGCCGTTGAACGACAGCATATCTGGGGAGAACTCCTGGGACATGTCCATGGTGGTCGGTCAGAGGAACTGTGGCTGAAGCTATCGCAGCTCTGACAAGCTGTCTAGGTGGACGAGAGAGGGGTTCAAGTATATCTCGAGAGAGAGTTGGTTTCGCTCTCTATCGTCCTTGTTGCTTATTTACTCCCATCGATTGACAATTTTGAAGAAACCCAGTTTTGGACGGGCGAGAGAGTGCAGATTGACATACAAAGAGGGCCTCCCAATGCTGAGACAGAAGAACATGGCACCATGAGCGAATCAGGATATCGCGTCGTCACGTGTGGGAGCGCCAGTTTGACGATCCCCTCAGGGCATGCGAGAACAGATTGGTGGTGGCTTAGCAGTTTGGATTTACGCCCAGCTGCAGTTGCTCTCGTTGATTAGGTAGTAGTTTAATTGAATTGAGTGCTCCCATCGCCGTTAACCTTGTCACGTCAAGTCATTCCTTGGTAGGTGACAGTGGCAGTGTTGCCCATTGCCCCTCAGGTTGAGCGGGTTGGCGGGTCATCAATCCGCCGCCTCTCGCGGCATCATTCCCTTTTAGGGATCTTTAGTCTTGGCGAGCATGGCCCAGTGGACTAACCTTAACCCGACGAAGAGTGTGTTCGGTCAGTCTGAATAGCCATGGTGTGGGTGGACAAACAGGCAGCATTATAACATGAGTCCAATAATGGTTCAAGGTGACATGGACTTTTTGTGAGGGACGGGGTAAAGTGCAGTCTGAATTCCTCCGTGCCGTTTGATCCGCTGCGAGGTGCCGTCGGTGGCTGAGCAGCCTATCGTTCGGTCGGGGCAATTCTGTCAAGACGTTATCAACCTTTAATTTAACTCGGCATCCTCTTTGCCGTTGACGACCTTCTTTCACCGTTGAAATAATTCCGGAAACGGTATCATTAAAGTCTGATGTCATGTGTTGTCGACTCTTGGCCACCCTCTCCCTGACTGGCTCCGATCGTCTCGACTGTGAAACAAACAAGCGCGCGCCTGGGACACCCCCAAAAGTCAACCGTCACGGGCGCTTCAGTTTCCATTCAAAGTCCGGCGCTTGGATTTTCCAACGATCCCCGCGTCGATCATGAACCGTTGGTCCCTTTCTAAACTTAGAAGCCTCGCGGTTGATCAAACAGCTGTTATTGTTCTCCTTTTGTCGAGTTGAAACGGGTCGTGGCCCAAAGAGCAACTGTCAGCTGCCACTCTTGGTCCTGTTTTACAAGTTTATGCTAGCGCCGGCGTCTGTACACCTTCAAGTGAAGCTCCGACGCCAAGCAGACATCTGAATCAGAATGACGATAACCCAAAGCGCCGCAAACGGAAGATGGTTGTCTCATGGCCATCCCCTGCCCCCTTGTTTTGCTGGACCAAATAACTCCGAGTAGTGATTCAGACACGCTTACCCTACAGCACATGGTCCGATCCTGTGGGCTCATCGCCGCCCAGGACAAAGGGGCAGCCTCTGTTTTACGATTTGTTGTTCCCTAGTCTTGAGACTCTTCAGGTCCTAGCACAATCACAACACAAGTGGTTGTGGTCTGCTCACAATGTCAGACTGGCCTATGGCTCGAGTATGTCTGTGATACGCTCTGACCCGACCTGCCTTACACAGATTGTCATATGGTATGACCAATGATTCAAGTAAGCATCTGCATGTAAGTTTGAAACACTGGGGGGCGAATAGAAACGTGCCACTGTCCGCAGTCAACGGCACGGAATGCAGACAACCTTGTGCTGACCTACACACGGGTAGGTCAAATAGAGATGCTCAACCGTCCGCGATATCAACATGACTGGTGGCATTGTACCTCATCGAACCCACCACATCGTTGAGGTAACCAACATCGACCATACAGGCCCAATGCGAGATTCCAGGTCCGATGGCGCTATATGGTGCTGACATATGATGATCCAAGCTGGGTTGGACCCCATATCCCCGTGCCAGCATGAATCCGGTCTGACGAGGAAACCAGGGCACCCAGATGGTAATTACGGCCTCACCGTTCACCCATTGTACCCAGGCCGGCCAGCCAGGATCCGGGACGGTATCTCTCTGCAGGGCAGCACGTGTGGCCCTGAATCAACGGAGCCAGGTGGTCAAATCTCACAGGAGTGTAATGCTGGCTTGCACAGACCTCAACGTTGTCAAGACGTGAACTGCACTAGGACCGGCACCAGATGAACGCTGATTGCACCACGTAAGCATTCTGCAACCATGCGCATTGCCAAGAAGGGGGAGAGGAGACCATTGACCAAGATCAGACCGGGACTGAGCCAGCTTCTTTGACCTGCCAGTGTCAGTGCTGGACCAATTGCATGCACACCATCTAATCTCAAGCTTTGTTGCATCTCCCACAAAGACACACAAAGAGGGTTTTGCAGATTACATGCCAGAGATAGATCACGGCAGTCACATTGTCAGTCCTCGTGGCATGGTAGGATGACTGTGGAGAGAGCAAGACCTTTGATCCCACCTTTTGCATTCCTTTCAGAGGCCAAGCTTTTTCCAAAAGCGTTCTCATCTTGCCCATCCGGCGGGAAATCAGCAGAATCCGATCCGGCACCCTGGTTCAACTGACAACTTGACAGGGGAGGGGAGAAGGGACGCGCGGAACAGCTGGGAAGAGGGCTCCTTGGCGGGCGGGAGTAATTTCGGTTGCTGTTTCACATGGCGGATGCTAAGCAAGAATCGGAATAGTAGCCGACGTGGCCCTTGGACGTGGTTCCCGAGAGGTTGGGATTAGAGAAGAAGCCAAGACTTTTAGTTTTTGTTCCGTTGCGAGGCGAGTTGTTTGCTTGTGACACACGCACTTACTTTGCATCTGATCATGAAAATTTCATCCGGTGAGAGGTATTTTCTTGTCTGTGGCCGTCATAGGACGCAAATCGTGCATGTCGTGGTGCGATGCCGTTGGAATGCCCAGGAGGCAGAAGCAAGGTTTATTGACTTTGGCTTGTTCGATAGCCTCTGGACGCGCATTGCTCCTGTCCAGATCAGCTCTGCTCAGCTCAGCCCTGGCCAAACCCTTCGCGGCCTTGGCCGATGGATACGACAAAGATCCTCGCCCAGAGCCTGCCTCCGATGGCGTTCTGGAACCCGGCAAATGCTGGGACTGAGTGCCGGGGGCTCAACGTAAACGAGTTGGCCGCTAGATTTCCAAATAGCGTGTGCACGTAGGTGGAGGATCGCCGAGTCAGGCATGGACTCTATCAGTCAACACTACCGATCGGTGAAGCAATCGTGGGCGGTGTCTAGCGAGGACACTAGAATCATGCCTGGTTCCGTCGATTGGGCCGCCAGCTGAGCTGTTTGTTTCCTCCCTCCCACCCTTCTTTGAGTCTACTGCAGGTCCCTCTGCAGGAACAGAACAGAAGGGAAGGCGCCCGAGCGAGCGAATGGGTAAAAATGGCGCTTCCCCTGCCCGTCGTTTCAGTCTCGCACTGGGAAACACGCCGTGAGTGGTCGCATCACCGATTCGCCGAGACTGCCACGTTGGCCCATGTTTTCTGGGTCGTGGGTCGAGCACTGAGGTTGTTCCCTTTGAGGTTGGACACGACCAATCGGAAGCTCTGATCATGTGCCCTGTCCGGATGAGGTGTGCGTGCCCCTGGCAGAAAAAAGGCTTGACTGCCCTGGCATTCCTGGCGTTAGCCATCGGGTACCCACCAGAACCCACTGCAGTTCAGCGCCAGGACCGGCCTCATCAGCCAATGAGGCTGCAGAAGTGAACCAAGACTTTAACCTGAACCCGCTAGAGGCGCCCCAAACCCGTCCCCTGCAGTGGAGGCTCTTGGGGCCCTGGATGCCACTGCGGGGCTTTTCCAAGTCCGGGAGAGACCCCAGCGGTGCCGTCGTATAGAAAAGTGACCTGTCTCAGGTGGAAGGAGTAGGTATCTTTTTGCTGTTCTCAACATGTGACAATACATTTCATCCCACCTCGCAACTTGTATCCCCTCCCCTCCACTGCAACCCTCACGCCCTCGGCGAGGAGCCTCCTTGTTCAAAAACCCTCCAGTTCCCCCGTTTCGAATACACTCCCTTCCCCTTTCTCTCCCTCATCGTTTTGTGTTGTTTTCAAGCCTCGACTTTGTCGTTTGCCCTTCCTTATTTACGCAGCTCCGCTGTCAAGCTCTCCCTCCGCGTCTTTGAAAGACTGCTATCCTCTCTCTTCGGCCGTGCCGACAACATCTCTCTCACCTCGATACTTCGTCGTTCACTGTTGCTGTGTTGCCCTCATCACGTCTCGTCTCTGTGACTGTGATCCAACCCACTACATACAACCTCGAATATCTGTTTCATTCTTTGATTATCGGCACTGATCACAGCGTCTGACATTCCACGGCATAAGCAAGATACAAGAAAAGCACATATCAACCCACCCACACCCATCCTTCACCATCAACAATCGTCAAGATGATCGGTAACAAGCTCACTCTTCTCACCGCCACCGCCGCTCTCCTTGAGCCGGCTCTCGGCCTCAACGTCCACCGTCACCACCACCAGCACGTCCAGAAGCGTGCCGAGTGGATCACTGCCACCATCGACGGTCAGGTTGTCTCTTGGGAGAACAACTACTTCGGCCCCGTCTCTCAGGCTCCTGCTGCCCCCGCTCCCGCCGCTGCTGCTCCCACCAAGGCCGTTGAGAAGCCCGCTCAGAACAAGGTTGAGGCTGTCGCCCCTGTCTCCGTCCAGCCTACCACCCTCGCCCAGGTCGCCAAGCCTGCCAAGGTCTCCCAGGCCCCCTCCAAGGCCGTCTTCAAGGAGGAGGCTCAGCCCGCCGCTACCACCACCGCTGCTGCTGCCCCCAAGAAGGCCACCACCACCAAGACCACTTCTCAGTCCAGCGGTGGCTCTGTTGGCTTCTCTTCCAAGCGTGGTATTGCCTACAACGATGTCGAGCTGGCCAACACCTTCGCCTCCAACTGCCAGAACTGTGGCTGGGCTTACAACTGGGGCCCTTCCTCTGGTGGCATCAAGGGTGTCAACTATATCCCCACTCTGTGGGGTGATGCCGACGACAAGGTCCAGTACTTCGAGGAGAGCATCGACGAGTGCCTCTCCAACGGCGCCAAGGCCATCTTCAGCTTCAACGAGCCCGACAACGGTGGTCAGGCCAACATGGAGCCTGCCCGCGCTGCCGCTTCTCACGTCAAGCTCCTCAACGGCTACTCTGGCAAGGCTCTCATCGGTGCTCCCTCCATCAGCAACAGCGGTCTTGCCGGTGAGGGTATTGCCTGGCTCAAGAGCTGGGTCTCTGCTTGCGAGACTGCCGGCTGCAAGTACGACTTCTGCAACGTCCACTGGTACTCCGAGGTTGAGTACGGTGAGACCCTGTTCGAGCACCTCAAGGCTGCCCACGAGACCTGCGGTGGCAAGCCCATCTGGCTCACCGAGTTCGCCCCCAAGGGTTCTGACGAGGCTATTGCTAGCTGGCTCGAGGAGGCCATCCCCCGACTTGAGGCCCTTGAGTACCTCGACGCCTACTCCTACTTCATGGTTTCCCAGGGCATGCTCATGACCTCCACATCTGAGCTCAGCTCCTACGGCAAGGTGTACGCCTCGGCTTAAGCGACCACGGTCCAGGGCGCAAGGCCCCAAAGTTCGTCTTTCTTCGTGTACACTCGCTAGGGAATACCCTCAACATTCAGCGCGGGCATTTTGGGAAATTGGTGGAAAACTCGGTCAAGGATGGCGCACGTCGACTTCTTCTGTACATATGATGGCAATCTAACCCCTATTATGTGGTTTGCCTACTTTATTTACCGGCACTCGGGATTCTAAAAAAAGGCTTTTTCAAAAAAACATGGTCACTTTATTTTTCGTGCTATGAAAAATAAAAAGGGATGCCCGATTTCATATTATAGACGCCACCCGCAGTTTGATAGACTTTATAGCACGCAGATACCCTCTTCGAGCTACGATGACAATGAATAGCGATTTGACTGCTTACACTCTTGGTTGCTGCTGTTGCAAACGTGACAAATTGCGTAATGACGCATTCCAAGACAACGTGTTAGTGTCGCTATCCCCGGATGCGGCGTTGTTTCCCGTCATTGTGGTCACGATCCGAGACGGTGGCACACGCAAGGCTGATCTCGGGATGTCTGGACCTCGTGTCTTGGCAGACTGACTCAGTGCCCCAGAGCGGCCCCTGATATTGCACGTTACCCGCTAGCTACACTATGACATGCCCGCATTCCTGTCAACGTGACGACTCGTGGCTAGGCTGAAGCTTAGTTAAGATCGTGAATCTTCATCATCATTGATTGGGTATATACCGTGACTTGGCAACACTCAAGTCATCTTCCTTTCGGGCCGGACGTTTAATAACTCCCCCATGGTATCTAACTATTACATTACTCAAAATCATGTGCCATCTAAGGGCCCCGGATGCATCATGGCTTGTAAAACAACTCCTCTACCTATCCATGCTCCTCTAAACAACCCACCAACGCCACAAGTAGCATGCCCAATGCCTCATTCCCCATTTTGCTTTTGAATTCGACATGTCGATCAATCAACCGTCAGATAAAGATTTCGTATGATGATGATTGCTGTGATGGCTGTTGCTACCACCCGTGATGTGTGTCCGAGGAGGTTCGGCAATCTCGGCATGGTTGATGGCGAAACTCGCTGGTCGTGGTGGATAACCATATACCGATTCGTCGTCCTCAAGTCTCATGCCATTTCCGTCCTTTCGCTCCATCTCGAGCCCAAAGCCACTGTTCGGTTGGCTCTGGCGATGAATGGTGGTCGTAACTACTACGCCGCCGTTCGTTCCCGAGTGGATCTTGGCCAGCTCGGATTCGGGGCTATCAGACGAGGAGCGAGCAGTGGCTGAGGCCACAAGCGAGACCTCGGCGTCGGTGCCATGTGGTGAGTTAGGGGCGTGAGGGGTGTGTATGGGGCCGAGGGGGTGCGCCATAGACGGTCGTCTAGCGTGAAGACTTCCATCGACGGCAGCGGCAGAGGTAGGCTGGCTCGAGGAACCGGCACCGTCGCGAGAGGTGACCCACTGAATGACAATGGCAGAGAAGAGAACTGGCTCTGTTAGCGCTGGCCTCTTTGGAAGATTATCGTGTAAACATACTGTCACTATTACAGCACATTAGGCACACCCAGCCGGGCTCGCCATCAAGAACCATCAAAACAGTGAGATTGCTATGAGATGTCAGTGTACAGTCCTCGAGATCCAAGTGCACACATACACAATACTGCTGAGCAGGGTACAGCAGGCACCAACAAAGGTGCGGAAGGCAACATTGCGAAGGCGGGCGTTGGCATTGGTTCTGGGCAGGTTTTTGTAGGAGTAAAGGTCTAGAAACGTTAGAATGGTCTTTCTTGGATACGGTCTCTTGTATCGCTTACTCTTCAGAGGAATGAGGAAGAGAAAGGTGAGGTAAACATTAACCACGGCATCAAAGGTGATGAGAGGGATCATAGAGATGCTCTGCATGCCAATGACACATTCTCCATTGACGATTTTCGCGATACGGCTGGGAAACAGGTTGGTTAGTCGTGACAATCCGGCCAATGCCAATGACAAAACCTACAAAACGAAGTTGAGAATGACCACAACCGTGTAACCTCCAAGCATGCCAAACATGTTGAACAAGTAAAGTTTCGACTTCATCCTTCGTACTGACGAACTTCGAATGATGTACTGGTATTTGTTAGACACAGCACCCTTCCACGGCTTGAGTTGCTGCCACTTACTGCTTTCTCGACGAGGAAAACGTAGATGAGCTTCATGAAAGTTAGCGGATTGCGAGCACCCAAGGCACCCAGGCCGGCTTACAATCTTTGTCGTTACATAGCAAACCAGACATAGCAAGATGGCGCCGTGGCAGATATTGTAATTGGTGTTGACGCCAAAGACTTGTTGAAGTAAGGCTGTGGCAAAGACGAAGCAGTATGAGTCGATGTAGATGGCGAAGACAACTATTTGATGTCAGTCAGTATCACTCCTCCCCCATCCCAATTCCAAACTGATGATCATGATTAACTTACTCCACATAACAAAGGGTAACCTTCGCCATGACTTGACGGCTAGGAGCCGTTGAGCTGTTTCTGTACGTTAGTCTTTTGGTGTTGATAATGTAGCGACCAAGGACTGACAGAGAAAGGCCGACAAGGCGGTAACGGCGGCGAGAGTGACGATAATCGACATGATGTCGCCGCCTATGGGCACCTCCTTGGGCACATGGGGCTCGCGAGGCCCTAACGATGGAGTCGGAGCCATGTTGGACGATGTTGAGGAATAGGGTCTGAAAAACCAAGGTCCAGCACGATACTCGACAGAGGCGGGAACACGTAGCTACCGCATGGACAGGGTAGGTGTGATATTAATAGGAAGGCAAAGAGGGTTTCTTAGAATTCCTTGAAGGCGACCCGGCCGAGACGTGGGAGCTTCCGAGCTGTGCCAAGCAATTCCGGGGAGAGCAGACAAGAATGGAGAGGATGGGGATCGGAGCAACGGGGATGGAGCAAGAGAAGTAACCAAGAGGCCAAAGTATAAAAGGTGGCGACTAAGGGAATATAACAGGATGCTAAGAGTGTGAGAGAGGTCGATGTACCGGGGCTTCAGAGGGCAACCCGTAGCCTTGGGCCAGACTCTGGACGCAGTGTGGCTCTGCGCAATGCCCAGACTCTGCGAAGGTTCTCGGCGTGTAACGAAATGGGGCAGCGCAGCAGCCAAAGGACTCAAAGGACGCAATGAGGATCAAGCGCAGGGTGGCCAAGAGTCGGCGGCAAGGAGAAACAGAGTCTTGAGCAAGAGGGAGAAACCGATGGGCTCAAGTACGAGGAACCTCAGCAGCGTAGTTCCGTTGGAGTGTGACGTGAGTAATAGAGTTGGAGTGGCGCGTGGTTATTTCTTGGGCCACTGATGGAAGTGGACGGGCTGGAGGGGACCACAACGGACGGCGGGAGTCAATCGGAGACAGTGTGGGCACGTAGCTGGAATGAGATGGTGGAGGATCCAGTTGAAATCGAGAGTTTCGGTCAATGGGCAATTTGTGGTGTTTTGTGGTCCTGGCGGCGATCTTGAAGTAGGTACGTGAGTCGAGTTTATATTGCCAAGTGGTTTAGGTCCGGAGATGGAGAAGCGGATGCAAGGGGAAAATGAGAAGCGAACAAGACGCCAAGTAAATCGAGGAACGGAATGAGTCTTATGGATAAGTGCGGGTCTGTTCCTGGATGTCGAGGGGCAAAGAAACCAAAGCCACGGGTCCGGAAGTTGTATATCGAGAAACGTCTTGGTGTTTTGGAGGGGAAACCACATCGACGTCCGTTGGAGCAAGCCGGCCGTGTTTTCTTTTTGAAGATTGCCCGGCCTCACCTCTCTTGTCCTGCCCCTCACGACCCCGACGCCGCCTCTTCCATCATTAGATAAAGACCTCCTCCTCCATGCTGATCATCCCGTCCCCCCTCCCGTGCGGCATGGCTTCTGCACATCCTGATGCGGGAGGTGGCCGATTCGAAATAACCGGCGAGTAACAGCGTTGCAGAGCATCGGTACATAGTAACTCAGACTCGAGGCTGGGCGCCACCACCGCAAGACAGATGCGTTTGACGGTGAATTGGGTGCAGCATGCACAAGCAGGCGCACGCGGACAGTGGGCGGCGCAACAGTGTGTACCCGGTTATCGTCGATCTCAACGCCCCGAGAAATCGCGGGCAGCCTCGGCGGGCAAAGGTGCTTGCATCAAGAGTGTGTGGATGCGCCCAAGTGTGAATGCGTGTGTGTGGTGATGAGTGTGTCTGAGTGTCATTGTGCTTGGACAATTCCCAACTTGGTTTGGTGAGGTCTCAGTCTCTTGTGATGAGGGTCGAAGGCTTGCGGGGAGCTCCTTCCCCTCCCCCAAGCCCCCACCTTTTGACGGCTCTGTAAGGCAAGCCACGATCTGGGAAGGAAGGCTTGGCAATCCTGGAACAATGCCAGCCAATCAAGTCTACTTGGGGATACCTATATCGTCACTTTCAAGTGCATATAAGGGAGGTACAATTACAGTCACAACTGATAGAACCACCAGCTGCCCTGTGGTTCCACCAAATTTTCTCTTCTCTCCCGAGTCCTCTTGAATATCCCTCAGTCTTCATGTCTCTCAATGCTTTCTTTCCTTGTCTCTTTACAAACACATTCACAACAACATTGCCTCCGAAGAGGACCTAGACCCGGCTAGGCCCGGTCGGGATCCATAGTCCGGATGCGGATCTCATCCGCCTCCCAAGACATCACGCACGACTCAAGTGCTGCAAGCAGCGACGAATCATGGCTCGTTGCTGCGACAAGAGCAATTGAATTCTGGGGCTCATATGGAGTTTACCGACCCCAGGCTGGGGCTAGTATTCACGTGCTCTATCTCTCGGCAATCAGCTCCGCTGAGAGTCTCTCCTCCATCGTCAACTTCATGTGCAGATGGGGATTAGACGCCCCCTGCAGCTACACAAGATCGAGGCGCGCTCCAATTACACCAGCTGAACAGATACGGGAGGGACCCTTAGGACGCCCGCCCCGTCTCCGAGATGGTTTCCGTCGCCCGCCGCCGTCGTGGTCACTTCTCTGATTGTGTCAGTTCCAAAGGCTTGGCTCATGCATGAGGATTCGTGAACGGGCGTTGTGGCGGAGACTTGGTGTATACCGCCTTTCAGCAGTCACTTGACCCCGGTTTTCCAGTCTCCAGCAGACAGATCATGTCCAAGAGACATTTTCAGCTCTGGCCGATTATACGAATTTCGTATTCCTGCGAAGCTCTGCACTGTCGGTTGATGGTGGTTGGGACCCTTATTCTCAATGCCATGTGCTCGGCCTCATCCCGTCCCCTCTAAACGTTGCTGCAGTGTTTCGCTTCACAGCCATCTGTTGCAATGCCCGTCATCGCACGCATAAGAATATCTCAGCGACAACGCACCGCATCACTTCTGGAAACTCGACCAACCAGACAACAACAGGTTTATGCTCACGGGGGAGGAGCCCTACCTTTCGGACTGCCCGTTCCCCACTCACGTCCTGTAGCTCTGAACCTTGAGCCGTCACCGTTGGCCTGGATTTGCCTCTCGCCTGGAATAAACACCACGCTAGGGAGCCGGCTAGCACGAGGGAACATGATCCGCTCCCGACGCTGTTGCTTGCGTCGTGGCCCACTGCCAGATCGTCCCGCCTACCGGCTTGACGGTCCTCGAATCTGCCGAAGCCAAGATGGGAAGGAGGAGGACGGTGTAGAGAGTGCTCTGGAAACTTAAGCGCCAACGTCGACTAGCATATGACTCCGTCGACATGTCAGACCTCTCTCTGTCTGCTCCTCTGGTTCGGGGCAGAGCTGCCCAGAAATCCGGTGCTTGGACAAACAGCCATTGGCCCGTAACAGCGGAACCACGGATAACCAGGTTGTGCGATCGTCAATGCGCAGAAGCTTGACGGCGTTCGTGGTTCGTCGAGATGGGTTCCTTATGCCGGACGGCTACGTCGAGGGATGTCACTGCACGTCTGCGTGCCGCTGAACGTCAGAGCTCTTGCAGCTCTGGTGAGTGCTTCCCTCCCAACTCTCCTCCTCCTTCTCACCTCCATCAAAGATCCCCCTCTCGGGTTTGGACGCCCTCTACTAATCAACCTGCTCCTCTGACATACAATCTACCATCTCACCCCCAAACTTCCTTCTGGTATTGTTCCATCCACGTGTATCATCCCCCCATCCTGCGGTTCCGGAGATCTTGGCGGAGATGCCTGCAGATGGCGTGCAAGCCCACTGGTCCAACAGTTCGCCGTGGCATCGCCAGATTCGTCGCCCGTCCCTCCTCTGAGTCCTCTCACAACCTTCACCGACCAGAAAGCCAGAGCTGCAGCCCTGTCTCACCTCGTCACCAGCTGGCACCCCGGAACCAACGCCCGTTTCCCCCAAAGCTTACTTGACCGTACCTTGCCCCTGCTTCTCTACTGCCGTCACACACGAACACCCAATATCCCGGCAGGCATCTCCAAAAAGAAGTGCAAGCTCTGAAACAGACCTGCAATGTGACACTCGACAGCTGAAGCTGGGTGGAATACAGATCTTAACCTGTGATCCCTAACGCCTCCAGGTTCTCCCCGCGTCTCCCATACCGACAGCCACAGCCACATCTTCACCGGCCTGTGTACCAGACGAGATTTGACAGCCTGCACATCCAAACGGTCAAGTTCTGTAGCATCTCTGAAGGCGTCAAGCCCCAGCTGCACTCTGTTGCCTCGGGGGCCATCGACGATCTGCAGACTATCTGCTTCTCTGCACGTCAAAACCAACAAAGAAAAAAAAAAAGTGCCTCACCTGCCAGCAACAATGATACCCAGGATACCTTCAACCGACCCGCACGGTTCCCTCGGGCGGGACTTCCGTTGCCTACTCCGAATCGTCTCGCACGAAACTATTGATCGCCGCTGACGGGTGGGAAGCTGTTGGCACGTCGATCACCAAGAACCCGGTCCTGCACTGGTGCAACCTTTTTCAATCTGCATACGCAATTCCATGCACTATCGCCGATTTTCACCATGACTGACTCGAGCTGATAGATGATGGGCCCTGACTGGCAAATGTGAGGTCAGGCCCTGGCAGTCCAAATGCGCATCGCTCGAAATGGGTTTGTTGTATCTCCATTATCGTTGTGCGCCATGTCACACGCCAATTGCCTCTTTTCCCCATGATATTGACCTTTGAGTCAATCTCGGCATTGGCCGCAACGGCACTTTTCGATGGCGATGTACCTGATGTCATCAGGGTCGCCCATGAGGGCGCCGCGTAAGTGTATATCATTCAAGTGATCGTGTACATGCTACACTGTTTTTTCAAACCAGTTTCCTGCTTTGACCGTCAATCATGATGCTTGGGATCGCCACTCGGCCGAGTGCAAACCCTCATTTCGTGTATCCCCTTGTAACGCCGTGCCATGCTTGCCAAATTGTCCAATCCAGAATCAAGAGCCTTCCCCCCCTGCCCTGCCCATCCCGACGCCGAACCTAAAGTGCTTCTCTGACCTGGGGTTGCTTGCTTGAATATCCCTTCCCCATGGAAACCTGAGGCTTCCAATTTTCATTGTCGATCATCCACGAGTTCATCTGCCAGCTGCACGTTCCAGTCACGTTTCTTAGGCGTGGCTATCTGTGGCCACGCGATCAGATCCCCTCACTCGGCACGCTCCATCTCCGAGTGCATGCTACCCCTTCGAGGAATCAACTCTGGCTATCACGATCCTCACCCGACTGGGCGCGAGTACGGATGCGGAATCTCTCCTTTAGCTTGGTTGCGAATCGTGCGCTTTGGCCTCGAGACTCGCCATCTACGGCTTCTGTTGTCTGCTGCCGCTCAGCTTCATTCGTCTCCGCCCGCATCTGCCGTAGTGCGTCAATCTGCTCCTCCACCGTCCCCTCTCGAAGCCGGTTAATGTCAAAGATCCGTGATAACCGGTTGCGATGAGATGCTAGAGGGGCATCATTCTCCGCACCCTCGAGAGCAAGCGGCGGGGGTAGTGCACTGGTGTCCCCAGTAGCTTCATTTTGACCTTCGTGGCCCTTGCCCGGGCGTAGATCATAACGGCTGTAGAATGGGTCAGCATCTAGGGCCACTGTTGGGGATATTACAAAAGCTCCAACTTACCAGAGTGGGCACGTGCCGGACACGTTGATCAGCCAAGGGTCGATGCATGCAGGATGGAACTGATGCTGGCAGGGCAAGACTCTGACGTCTTCGCCAACCTTGAAGTCTTCAGTGCAGATAGAGCACCCCAGATGATCATCATCCTTGTTCTCGGCACCTTCGGGTGATGATGCGGCTCTAGCCCCGGCCGAGACAGGCTCGTTATCAGCGCCTACTACCGGTGCTGCATCAGATCGCCGAGCCTCACTTAGGCGCGAAGCGGTCCGCTGCGTTGCTCCATCGGTTCCTTCAGTAGGTTCTAGCTCTAGTTCAGGATCCGGTTTTGCTGGTGTTTGGTTCCCAAATTTCACAATGGGGATGGTATCGAGGACAGCCCTGGCGAGGCCCTTGGCCCGGCTCTGACGGGGTCGGCCACCAAGCGCTCCTCGCGGACCATATCTTTCAGGGTATCGATGGGCTCTTATTGCGCCTGTCGCGATAATAGCGAGAAACAGGACAGTGATGAGGCCGGTAATGCTGTACAGAACACTCATAGCGACTGCGTTATTGTTCTTGCCTGAGTCCTCATCTGCCTGGGCATTGTCGTCGGTGGTATTGCCCGTGATGGAAACTCTAACACTGTCATCGCGGCTGCGGTTGAGATAGTTTAGCGCCTGCATGGCCTCTCCGCCGTCGGCCATTGACAGAATGCTGGTGTATTCGAGATCACCGGTATGGCTGATTGAACACCAGGTGTAACTTGTGGAGTAGAGCACGATGGCTCTGATGTGAGGTTTGGTGGTCATCAATTGGTACAGCATCTTTTCGGGCTGGATGTATGAATCGTCTTTGGGTTCGTCGCAGGATAGATACGCCACGTCGGAAGTCTCGTTGATCTTGTTATAGTTGGACTGGTCTGCCGCAGTCATGTAGCCGTTGATCCGAATGACCTTGATCTTCCTGTCAGCACCATTCTTTCATCATAGTCGCAGACGACAGGCGTTGTCGTCATCGTCATGACGGCCAGGGTAAATGGCGTACATCAATAACCACGCCGGTTGTGTCGTTCAAGCCCAAATTCGGGGTGAGAGGAATAACGGCGAACTGGAGTCCTGGATTCGTCGACAGGGACAGCTGCATGCCGCGAGGCTTTGCCCATTCGGGAACCTCGCTCTCGGCGGTTGTGGTGACATCTTGCTGAGCGGAGACGGCGGTAAGGGCGAGGAAGAGGAAGGATAGTTTTCTGGCGATGCCAGAGGCCATGAAGGGCCTCATGGTGGGTGATGGGTGGTCGGGTTGGCGATGGATGTCGAGTCGAAGTCGAAAACAAGACAACGGGTGATGGTGGTGGTAGCTGAGGATGAGGCTAAAAGCGGGAACCGGGATCTGGGAGTGAGGCGACTTCGGAAGTCGAGGAATAGACCAGGATGCGGCGGATAGTCAGGTAGAAGGAACACGACCTGTCAGATGGACAGAGACGGCATCTCGATGGGGGAGGAAGAGAGCACAACTGGCTCTGGCGTTGGTAGCGAGCAACGGGCGATGTATGCGCGTTTGGTGGTCGGGCGTTGGAAGATGCAGATGCAGAGGGAGAGAGAATTCGCCTGTCGATGGATCCCAACCGTCGTCACTCACGCAAGCAAATACTGCAGTCGCTCACACTCCATCCTTCAAACATGGACCTCTTCCCGTGATGGGCATGGCTGGTTCCAAGTTTGCGGGCGCTGACGGAGGGTCCGGGAGGGTAAAGGCTCCGCTCCAACTTGCAGTCCGTCACGAGCCAGCCAGTCGCAGGAGAGGGCGGTCGCTGTACGAACCAACCTTGGAAGGACGTGCCAGCGAAGGCGACGCACTGAACGCTTGGCGCTCTGCCAAGCCCAGGCTTTGATCACTGTCGAGGCCATTGAAGGAGTTGTTTTTATTGCAATTTTTGGTCTTTTTCTTTCATTCTTTTTATGAAAGTTATAGATTTATTTCATTCATCTCATATCCATCTCCATTCACCATCTCTCCTCGCCAAGACCTTCCCCCTCATCCCGAGGAGAAGCTACATTTAAAGTGTCAGCCAAGGTCTGGGCGGATATCGGCAGCCAATTGCTCGGGTCGCGTGAGCGCTTGGACTCTGATACGCAAATGATTGCTAACGCCAAGCCTGGGCTTTGCAACACGAGCTGCCTCAGCTACCCTGCACCATATCCCAGAAATCATGATATTGATGAGGATTGGAATTACAATGCGTGTTTGGTATGATGCGGCCTTTGGGGCAGTGGTTCCTTGGCAAATCTATTGGATGGGAATGTCGAAATGAATTAGCCAGGAATAGCTTCGTCGAGTTAGTTGGGGTACTTGTGTAACCTATTTATAATTAACATCCATATTCTTGATACCCCGGGAAATCGACTTGGTAATATTGCGAATAGTAACCCATAAACATAGCATCACCAGCATGCTTCTTGTAGTAGATACACCGTGAATCTCCACATGACATAGCCACGATATTGACAAATCTAAACTGGCAAATCACAACCCATACATAGCAACTAGTCACGCCTTAGTTCGGATAATCACAGTGTAACAGGAGGATTACAGTTGTTCTCCATTGTCGCCATAAGGAACAGACAATGACCGGCCCTGGTTCATCAATGTAGTATCCCAAGATGGACCAATGGCTATATATACCGTTGACGCGGGAACTGAATCAAGATCCGGTTCGTCCCTGGGCCGGTATCTTGTAGGTCACAAGAAACTCATATACAAGAATAAAGCGAGCTATTGTACAATTGAAACCACCCATTCAATTACTCCTAGAATCCCTCTCCTGATGGTGCACGACAACAACGGAGCTGAGACTTTGTCCAACGCCTCCTTAACACCAGTCAACGCGACCCAGGCTCGAAAAGGCATTCTCCTACAGCATGACCTCAGTTTCAAACAGTAGATACCCAAGGGAACTCCCAAGGCCGGCACAGCTGGTGGCCAAGCAACCCCAAGATGTCTGGTAAACCTCAACAGTCATGACCAACATGATGAAAGACGTTAACTGACTAGGTCCATGATCAACAACGCAGCCGCATAGTCACTCATAAGAGACTAGAGAAACGCATTCGTTGTTCCTTTCCATGGCCCAACATCTTTAAGGTCCAACCTGTGGTCAACGTGGGACAAGGATTTTTGTATGTTACCCCCCGTGCCATCGAGATCAGGGTAAGAGGCCCGACAAACTCGAGTTGATAGCGGCTATAACACCCCTGAATTCATATTAGATGCTGCCAAGAGTGCTCTTGATCTAGTCAACACCAATCGCCCCCCCCCCCCCCCCCCAGATAAGTGCGCGAAAAACCGCACGAACGCACTCGCTTTGCACTGCTCCAATAGCCTGGAGCAAAAGCTTAACGCAGAAACCGAGGTGGTCAGCACCATTGATGTAAAAGAAGGCATATACAGAGCCTTCATGGCATTCGTCGAAGATGGTGGTGAGGTGACTGTGTTTGAATCGAGTTTCGACCAGGACACCAGTAATATCCGCATGGTTGGCAGTGTCGTTCGACATGTACCCCTGAGCCCTCAGGCCGGCGGAGAGACGGCAGCCTCGCTTTCAGAAAGTTGAACGCTGGATACGGCAAAGCTCAAGAGTAAATTCAGCTCAAAGACAAATATGTTAGTGCTCAACTCTCTCCATAATCCTGCGGGAAAAGGTCTTCTTGACTGAAGAGCTGGGCGCCATCGGCAAGCCGTGCAGTCCTTCGGGGATGGAGACACGCCACTGCTCGAGATCTTCGAAGAGTTGACTAATGGTAGTCGTGTAGTAGTCTAGTCCCTTCTGAAAAATTCCATCGCAGAACAGGATAGTCATGGCTCGCTAAAGCAGCCGGGAATGTCGAGCAAATGTGAGGTCGACCGCAATACCATCACCATCGCCGACGATGTCTACGACAGCTTGACTTGAGTACGCGCAAAACGCATGACCACGCTATCTCTAGAGATTTGGAACCTCACCCTCATGGTGCGTTCTGCGGGCAAGACTTTTTACACGACGGGTTGGAGGATAGGATTTCTCATCGGTCCGGGGCGTCTAGTAAAGTACGTCGCCGCAGCGCACATCCAGATCTGCTACTCGAGTCCGAGTCCATTACAGGAGGCCTACACATTAGATTACCAACTGACCGGGTTGACGGGCTTCTAGGAGAAGTCCCGGGGCGAGATGCAGGGCAAGATTACGCTTCATCTAGGTCCTCGACGAGCTAGATCTACCACACACTCTCAGGGGGCTACTATGTCCTGGCCAACTTCCAAGACTGAAGTTCCCAGAGGGCTACGAGTTCTCCAGTAGTGCTGCATCTCGGTCGCGAGATTTCAAGTTGACCTAGTTCCTCACCACAGAGCTTGAATTGGTAGTAATCCCGTCGAGTGAGTTATACATCTCAGAGAGCTCGCATGTAGCCGAGATCCTTTTGAGATCCGCCGTTTTCAAGAGTGTCCCTGAGGATTCCAAGGAGAGACTGAGAGGGTTGAAGAAGTATCTTGGATAAGTTTTAGTAGGGTTTAGTCTATAATCGCCCTTTATGCCAAGCTAGGAACTGATCCTACCGCCTCATGTTGATGGTTCACCCCATGAATGACGGTGTCTTGCTTGAAGTGCTCATTACCCCCCCTGATTACAAACGTTGATAAAAGACGGACAACTCAGGGGCGTATAAAACAAAGAACTCTACTCTCTAACTACCCCTGGAGCGAAACCCTTCAGCCCTGGCGTTAGGAAGACTAACGTCAGTTGAATTCCAGTTCGTCACAATAGAGTTGCGCCACACCTCGTGGGTCCCCGTCGCCTAAGATAACCAGGAAAAGTCAAGAGCTCAACTTAATTACGACTTAGTTATGGCCAAGACTTGTCCTCGACGCCCCTGGACGAGTCTAAACTTGGAATCTTGACTCGTATCGGAAACATGGGGTCTTTTCGAGTCACGAGTTGTGATGAGGTCTGCCAAGTATGTGGATGTCTTTATGTACAACTACTGAAATTGTAATTATCACTTTGACTCGAGAATGTGAGAGTTAGAGCCGGATATGAAACAACGAGTAGCTCGAACTATGGATTTGTCCTTGTTAGGATAGCTGACAGCCTGGGAGTGATAGCACATGCTGATGTTGAAGCCTCATAACAAGACACAGCCTCGCAACTGGCCATGTTGACAACCCTCAACCAACATAGCCCCTTAATGTCAGCTCACCTACCATTCCAAAACATCAAAAAACCCGTGCAACACCAGGTTTTTCCCTGTTGTCCGGAAGGCTTATACCTCCAGAACAAAAGCCTCGGCTTCGACCGAATGACTGCAGCAAACATTCCGCCTTGAAATCTGACCGGCTGCAGCAACGCCCGCGTCCCGGGCTTGAACGGCTGGGGATATGTCATTGCTGCATGGATTTCCTCGGTCCGCGATGCACTTTTGCCCCGGCGTTATACACGAGTGTAAATAAAAAAAAGGTTCCTGCGAATGAACTGCTGACGAAAAACTGCATAGCCAACGCCAACACACACACTAACTAGGTATCTGACTGTGTCCTCAGTTTTGTGCCGAATATCTCGCAGAAAGCATGCAAGCCGACACACACACACACCAAGAAACCAGGAAACCCCTCCTCTGCAAGCCTTGTCCTCGGGTAACCATGCATCTCCCGTTTCCCCAGAGTCTCAGCAGCCGGGCGTCCAGATTCCCATGCCTCGGCAATCCCTGAGACCTTTTTTTTCTTCTACTCTACTCTACCCCAAATGTCCCGAGAAACAAAATGCGGAGTTGCCCGAAAAGCATCGTTCCCCGGCACATGATGAACCTGGGGTAGACAAGGGGCCTTATGCCCATCGTAACCAGCGCGCCGATGATCACGCAACTCGACAACCATAATGCCAAACACGATGGCGTAAATTCGACCACGACCTATATCCTCCTCATAGATAATTACAAGTACCCCAGTGACTCTTTGCTGTGGTTGAAATAAAGTTGCCCAGGGCCTTTCCATCCCCTGAAGCCGTTGCTGCAAGAATTCACGGATCGGGTATCATGACCCCAGGGTGCTTTACCAAGATGGGAAAAAGGTGCAGGAAAAAACGGGGAGAGAAAAAAAAAAGAGAGGGAGAAGAGGCAGAGGAATAAACGCACGACAGATCTCTCGCAGGGGGCGAAAAGATCTATTTCTAACAAGTCTAGAAGCTCGGGGCATGTGTTTCACAAGGAAAGATCCGACCCGTGAAACTCGAGTCCATCGTGTTTGCTTGCGTTCAAGATCGTGGGGTCGTGATGGTGAGTGGAGCTGAGATGTCATCACCAGTAACTATGCTCGACGACATAGCAAATAGATCAAAGTAAACATGAACAAATCACTGATATCATAGAGATCAACGGGCGTAGTTGTCTAGTCTATTTTTATTGGCCATACCTCACTGCCCTAAGCCTCGATGTGAACTTCATGTAGTTGTACCAGGCCTGTTGGACGCTGTGCGATCAAATCTTGCAACGCACAAATGCGAACCAACAAGACCACAACCTGCAGAGAACAGCATATGGACATGCCCGTCCTCTCATACCACAATGTCTAAATCTCCTCCATGTCCTCCAAATCATCCAGAGCCGGGAAATCACCAACCTCTACCCGCTCCGGTCTCACAAAGACACCATGCTTCAGCTCCGAAGGCCCACCCCAGT